AATAAAATGCAACATTTTTTTGAGCTAATTTATTTTTTAATAAGACTCTAAAGAGTTAATTTGTTTTGAATTTAGTAGCCCAGTTTTTGTCATTTATATTAAAACTTTACAATAATTGTTATTAATTTAAATTTATATTTTTGTATTTATTTAATTTTTTGTCAGATGGTTTTTATAAATTTCAAGAAATATTTAATCTTTTAATTTTTTTTTTTTTTAATTTTAATGTAATAGTATTTTTGAATGCTTATAGAAACCAGTACTTTTTATTATGTCATTCAATTTTAGTTACATAAGCTTTGTTTTTGTGCTAAAGTTTTTTCGCTATTAAAAGATGTTAATAAAATTAAATATACAAAAAGTTTAAAAAGATTTGTTATAAAAAATATATATTTATATATAAAAAATTATATATAATATTCTTTGATAAATTAAATACAATGGGTTTATTTTGAGCAATCATAAAAAATAATTTGTTTTTTTATTTTATAAATTATTCAAAAACTTTAAAACTATTATCTCATTCTTCTTTATCATCTTTATCAATCCCCCTATCATTGTACCTCTTACAAATACCTTATAGCTGACTGAGACTCTTTCTGTGATTTTCTTTGTGATGGCCCTTGGGTAGAAATCATTTGTCTTCTTGCTAACTAATGTGCTTCTTATGAACCTTCTTGGATTCAGGCTGGCATGGAATCCCTTATTCCTTTTTGATGATTCCAAGTCAAGCCTCACCTTCTTCATGGTTTTCCTCTCAATGTGCTGCTGCAATTTCCAACCGTAATCATTGCTTCCATATTATTTGCCAAAAAGAATTCTCCAGAAAACAGACCTATCTTAAGTATTGTAAGAAACCATTGTAAAAAAATGTTTTGTTAATTGTCTGCTATTCTCAGGTCACAAAATCTCATAATTCATCTCAAAAATTAGGCTCCAGAGGCTTCTGGAAAATATTTAACAGTTTTTATAATAAGGCCAAATTTATTATTCCACTTCTCTTGCATGGCTTAATCTCATCTCTTGATTCCACTAATCACATCCTACCTGATATAGTCAACAAGGAGAGCGATCTGACTAGTCTAACTACCATTAGTCTTCTTCCTATCATTAGCAAGGGTTTTTAAATAACAAACATATAATCTCTCATCTTGAATCTAATAACTTTCTGAACATCAATATGGAACTTGATCTTTATGTTCTACTGCGATTTGTTAATAACTGATAGGTTTTATCATGTATTAGATAGATGTGGAGTTGTTTGGGCTATCACTGTCAACATTTCTAAAACCTTTGACAAGCTGGGTTTTTCCATAAGCTCTCTTCTTATGATATATCAGGTAACATCTTCAAGATTATTGAATCCTTTGTTACCAATTGTAGTATAAAGTTTGCTCTCAATGGACAGCACTCTTTTTTATTTCCTGTAACTTTAGGGATTTCTCAAGGTATATATTTTTTAGTTTACATTAACAAACTCCCAGAAATTCTCTCATCTTAGGTGGGACTGTTTGCTGATGGTACTACCATTTATTCTTTTCTTGTTAAGAAGCTAACACTCTTTGATTGCTTGGAGAGGGCATTTGAGCTTGAAAAGGATATAACTTCTGTTATATCATGGAGCTCTCAGTGGCTGGTGAACTTAACTCAGGTAAAGCTCAATTATTTTCAGCTAATCGTTATCGCAACAATCTAGATCTTCTTATATTTATAAATGGTAATGCACTCGATAAGTCATCTACCCTTCATCTCCTAGGATTAACAATTACTTCTGATCTTTCTTGGAAACCATATATCGAATTCATTGCAAAATTAGCATCTGCTAATACTGCCACTCTCTTTCCTGCTTGCCACTTTCTTACTCTGAACTCGATTTTTTATCTCTATAAATCTCAAGTTAACCCTTGTATGAAATACTGTTGCCATATCTAGAGCAGATATTCAAATGATGTCTTTTCTCTTTTAGACAAAGTGCAAAAACAAATTGTAAAAATAGTTAGACCTGCTCTTACAGCCATTTTTCAACCATTGTCACATCGTCATAATGTTGCTTTCTTTTCTCTATTCTATAAATACTATAATGGGCGCTGCTCTAAAGAGTTGGCGTCTCTTGTGCCATCAACTAAAGTTCATTCTCATGTTACTTGTCATTTAATTAAGCCTTATCCTTTTACAGTGACTGTTCCCAAGTGCTCCAAAAAATTTTATTTATCTATTTTTTTCCTCAAACATAAGTTCTTTGGAATTCGCTCCCTTTATCTTGTTTTCCTGATTCATACAATTGGCAATCTTTTAAATAGTTTGTTAATCGTTATCTTGCTTTATAAACTTTATATTTTCTCTTCCAATAACTTCCAACTCTAATAGTGGTTTCTTGCAGTTTTATTGGAAGCGAAGATGTTTATAAAATGTTTCTAAATCATTCTTTGTTTATGAAGTTATAAACTGGTATATATTTATTCTTTTTTGCAAGTATAAATTATCTAAATTATGGCCTACTTTGGTGTAAGTATCTTTTATTAACATTATTTACGGTGTAAGTATTATGCAAAGATTACATAAATAAGTTTGAACGTAAAATAACCGTAATTATTTATAAAATGATAAAGTGTTAAAATTTATTAGTGATCAAATGAAAAAAGAATTCTTCAAAAGTTAAACTGAAATTTCAAGTATACTAGTTCAATACTAAAACTGATTGGCAAACATTTTACCAAAACTTATACCAAAATTTCAGCTAAGCAAATTAATTTTATTAGAAAATAAGAAATCTATATTCTCTGAAAACCAATATAATTTCATTAGAAAAAATGAAATATCTAAAAATGCAATTTTTATTTTTTTTTACATTTGCTGTTAGTTTTTTTTTTGACAAATTCTTTATAATAATAATAAATTAATAATATAAATAAATAATGTTAAAATAACTAAATACTTACATATACGAAGTATCATTCTTGTTTACTTTCTATTTACAACATTTAAACTGAATTTGTTTTCTTTAAACAAAATGTTATCAGCGCAAGATTGAAATTATTATGCTTATTGCAACAGTTTGATTATTTTTAAGAAGCAGATGGATATGGGCTACTTGCTAACTAAAACTTAAGTAAATTGTGAATGGCAAACTTAAAATTTCATTTAGAAATGATAAAATATTTTGTGGATTTCGTCAAAGATATTTATTTTTTTAGATCAAACAAAAATTTAATACTAAAATAATTTTTTATTTAATCTAGATTAAATAAAAGTCATACAAAATTGAAATTTTGTTTTTTGGTGAAATTTCAATTGATTTTTGTTTGAAACTAATACCAAAACAGAATTTCAGTTGATTACTAATATTTCCCCATCTTTTTCACAAACATTAATTAAAGTATGAAATTTCAGGCTTGATCGGTAAGCGGGTGCGATCGCACTTGATAACTGACCACAGAAATAATATTTAGTTGCGAAAAACCGGCCAAATTTTTTAGTCATTTTGAGAACATTTAAGTTTATGTAATTAAGTTCATTATTTTATCATAAATTTTAAAATATTTTGTTTTACGAACATACATGGAAACATACATAAACTTGAATGTTTGCTAACATCTTTGTGCGGAAAAATAAAAAATATTGGCGAACACAAAAAACCCGCCAAATCTACGAACAACTATTACTATTGGTTCAAAAAATACTACACTCAAAATATATATGCTTTAAGTTTATCTTTTTTAACTTGCTAATGTTTTGTAAATATATTATAGATTTTATTAGTGTATTCTTTTTTTTTTATATAAGGGATGTATTTTTTATGTATGTGATGTATTTTTATGTATATAATGTATTTTTATGTATATAAAGTATTTTTACGTATGAATTTTTTATGTATGTATTTTTTATGTATGTAATTTTATGTATGTGTATTTTATTCAAATGTAATCTTTTGAAGCAATTTGTCCGATTGATTTTGTAAAAAAAAATACTTTCAATAATAACTGTGTTTTCAATGAAATTATTAATAATCATCAAAGTTAATACAAATAATTTTAACCACTAATCCATTTTCCTCAGTGTAACCGATAACTGGTTCTTTCCCCAGTTCTCAGAATTAGTTTACTAACTTCAATTATTTTTGTTTCAGCCATTCTTACTAACTTTTTATACATAAACTCAAAGTTACTTTTTTCTGCTTTAAATACTAATTAAAATTATAAAGCCCACTCACTAAACATTATCAGCGTTATTGTGAAGCAATTCCGCTTCCTCCTTGCATAGTAATTTAACGTTGATTTCTATTTTGTATCTATCGTAATTTTTAGTTAATTTCTATTTTGCTAATTAAATTTCTACAGTAACTCAATGATTTAATTATTTCATTTGTTCATCTTACTAAGAAGAATTGTTTCAAATGTGTTAAACTTTTCAAACTACGCGAAACATAAAACAGTTATTGAAAAAACTTTTTTATTTATAAATAAATCATCTTGCGTTAGTTTTAATGGTTGAATCTTGTTGGACTTTTCAGGGGACTGCATTATTTTGGCAGCCTTTTTTATGTGCCACAGCGTAAAAATGACTAAAAAAAATACCGAATGGTCCTCTTGACTATTTCGCGGCCCCTAACATTGTGAGTCCCAGGGCTATAGCCCTTCTAACCCCCCACCCCCACCTCCTCAATCCAGCACTGGAAATAAGACATAAGTTTATAAATAAAAATTATATATACTCTTTGATAAATCGAAGAACATTTGTTTTTCTTATCAAACAATCATTAATAGTAAGTTGTTACTTTATATAAAAAATGTCGCCTAATTTTATAAAAAAAATTATGAAAGAGCAATATTTCAAAAATACTTGCTCTAATCGTATTTATTTTGCTAACCCACTTCCTGACCAACCCTGAATTTGATATAGTTACATTAATATTGTAATAACAACTTATAAAATATTCATAGATTTATTAGATTTTGATATTTTGGTATTTTGGTATGAAACTATACATTTTTTTTTAATAGGATCAGAAAGAGAAAGAGATTACAAAAGAGATGAATTTAGAAAAGAAAGAGATCGTAGGAGGAGTCATCATGAAAGTCGTGTAAAAAGTGACCGATATGAAGATTATAATAGCCGTTACAAAGTTCATGATCAGCCAAGAAGAAGTTTATCACAAGATGGAAAAAAAGAAATGTCTAGCAGAAATAGTTTAATTGAATCTGGATTTAACAATTCACCTCAGTCAACGCCCTCACCTAGTACATTACCTTTAGGTCAAATTTGTGCTAATAGCTATTCTCCATTGGTTTCTAATTCACCACAGATAGAATCCAGAACTTTTGACCCTCGTATTGTTACAAAAAAAGTTATTGAAGAAAGCAAGCAAAATTTTCGACTTCTTATTGATCCAGCAATAAAGAAAGGTCACATGAAAGTTATTCGATATAATGGAGTTCTACCTGGGGTATTTTTTAAATAAGTATAGCAGTTTTTTTTTCTGTTGGCTATTTTTTTTTTTTAAATTTGTATTTTTTTAGCAACCTCCTGTAATACCAAAAGATCCTCGTCGTCACAAAAGTAAAGTCTGGACAATGGAAGTTTGTGATCTACCTCTGCCAGACTTAAAGGTAAAAGTTTTAAATGCAGTTAATGTGCTTTTTCTCTGAAATTTATAAAATTAATATGTACAAGTGCAAATATTAAAAAAAAAAATTTTGTTGATTGCAAAGTTTGATGCAAAGCCATTATTACTTTTAAACATAGGTTGATAAAAACTATGTTGGACCAATGCCTCAAAATACTATTCGGTTTTCTGGATTAAATGACAATATTGATCGTAAATTTTTACATGAACTCTGTGAATCTTATGGAGATATTATTGAATACAAAGTTTATTTTGATCCAAAAACTAATCGTCATACTGGTACAGGAAAAGTTATCTTTGATGATAAAACTGATATCAAAAAAGTTGTTGATGCTTTAAATGGGCGACAGGTTATGGGAAAAGTTATTAAAGTTTGGATTGAAATAAAACGTAAGAATTTTTAAAAAGTTTATACAGTATAGTCAGTGAAAAGTGGAGCCATATATATTAATTATTGTTTTGTGTTCTTCTTTTTTTTCAATATTCTTATCAAAAATCTTTTTAACAATTTTTTTTTTTAACAATTTCTTAAATTTAATACATTTTAATTGGAAATAAAGAAAAAGCTGAATAATTAAAATTGAACAAGATATTAAGGTAGGCATCAATAATGATTTTGAAAGTAAATAATCTTAAGACATTTTAGGGATTTGCAACATCAAGACATCAAGTAAATATTACTACTGGTGGTCTCCATCTTTAAATAACTTAAACAGTCTTTCAAAACATACATATTTATAAAAACAATTTACAGTTTTAATAAGCTCTGTGAGGTACTTTTGTGACAACACCTGTTTAATTTTAGATAAAGATAAGTTTTAAATAAAATTTAGTTGCTGTAAAAGGAGTTAAATTTAAGCCTTTCTATTTATACCTCAAACAATATTGGTATAAATAAACTAGTTATAATGTAGAGAGAATATCTTGTAAACTTTTTTTAATTTAATTTGTTACATGATATTTCGTAAACTACTGCATTTGTTACATAATATTTTTTAAACTACCACAATATAATAAGTTATTACAAAACAAGTTCAATTAAAAAAATTAATTCAATTACAGGCCTTGTTATGAGATTTTATTGCATAACAAAAAAGCATAATGCATATTATATACATATTTACTGTAAAAAGTAAAATTATGTCTGTTGTTTATTTTAAAGTACTGCATTTTAATTAAATTTAAAACATTAAAAATCATTATCTTTATAAAAAAAGTCTTAATCTTTATAAAATACCTTAAAATTAAACAATTTGTTGATATAAAAAAAAACTAGTAAAATTTAAGTATGTTTGAAAAAAAAAATTTCTTATAAAAAACTTGTACATATTTAAACTTATAATTTTTTAAAACATATATACATAGCACACAGCATTGTGTTTGCTTTCTCACAATTTATTTCTTAAAACATTTATAGCACACAGCATTGTGTGTGCTTTCTCACAATTAATGGGTAAATTATGAGTTTAAAAAAATAATAATAATAATCAACAATTTTTTTTAACATTTTGGCTTGAATGAATATTTTCATTTTACTCATAAACTAATTAATCATTTCTAAATAACATTCTTTCTATCGTTAATCTAAAAAATTAATGATAATAAAAAAACCATTGTTAAAAAGCAATTTCAAAATTCAAAAAAAAAATCATCTTTTCATAAATTGGTTATATAAAATTTACTAAAATAACTTTGCCTACAGGATTTATTATTATTATTTTATTATTATTTATTTATTTGTATTTGAAATATGTACAAAATACAAAATGGTGAGACAGTTAATTACTAAATTACTCTTATGTAGCACCGAAAAAAACAAACAGAAAAGAAAATTCAATATGAGTTTATGTAAAAAAAATAAGTTAGTAGATTGCGTGACAATTTAAATCATACTTTTTTAAATTCAATTTGAGTGCTGACAGCGAGGGCGAGTTTACTATGTGGTCAGGAAGTGAGTTCCATACTTTAATAATTCTTTCGCTATAATAAAATCTTCTAGTATCGTTAATGTATATATACGCGGTGAAAACTTTTGTGAATGACTTCTAGTAAAATATTTCGAATTGGAAATATTAAAAAAATCTAAAAATGGTAAATCAACAAGATTATGTACAGTTTTATAAGTCATATAAAGATCAAAATTAACTCTGCGATACTCAAGAGATTCTAGTTGGAAAACAATAAGTCTTAATAAGTAATCAGTGTATTTAATATGACACCATTTGCAGACTATTCTGGTAAAATATTTTTGAACTTTTTCTATGTAAATTATATCTTTAAAAAGATGAAGGCTCCAAACTGGGGTGCAAGATTTAAACATAGAAAAATTAATTTAAATGAATATTAATGTAGACACATTAAAGTTTATATAAAATATACCTTTAGTATTAGAATTAATAAAATATATGTTTATAAAATATATGTTTCAAGAAATAACACAGAACTTTTACAATTTTCATGTAAGTTAACAAAAACATGATAAAGTTTTGTTTTTTCCTAAATTTAGTTTAAAAACTTAAGTTTTTTAATAATACATGTGAAAGAATATTAAATGTTACGTTTTTACTTTTAAAGTTTTGAATAACGGTGCTTAGTTATAACATATTTTTTATTTTAAATTTGTGTAACTACATGCATTCACTAAAGTTCTGGCGCTTTTTCGTTGATAAAGTGAATTATGTCATTTATTTTGTCGCATTAGTTTGACAATTTTTTAACTGTAGTAGGAGAATTTAGAAAAAAAATCTTTTTTTTTTAATGTTAAGTAAAACTATTTATATTATTATTTTTTTATTTGTTTATTTTTTTTTATTTTGGTTGACATATAAATATACATAGATAAATAAAAATAAGAATTATATAAATATTTTTATTTAGACATTAAAAAAAAGAGAATTATTTGCTATTCTCCTAATATAAAAAAAAAATTAATTAAAATTTTTTTTACTTTTGCTTTAGTAAAACAAATCGTTTGTAAATGCAATTAAGGGGGGTCATCAATAAAGCATGTCACCCTATTTTTTTTCAATTCTTAACCCCTTCCCTCCTGTCACAAGTGATCACAAATACCTGAACCCCTCCTAAACTTTGATAACAGTTTTAACTTCAAAAATTCAACCTTATGAAAATAAGGCAATACGCATAAACATGAGAAGTGTAAATAAAATCTTCAACAAGCCAAAGGTTTTCTTATTTAAATGACTCAAATAAGTATTAATAAAGTTGTAATACTAAAATAATTTGCTTTTGGTCTTGCGGAAAAACTTTTTGATTTGATAACTTTCATAAATGTTATGAAAAATCAATAAGGAAGAGCACCACCAGTTTTTAAAAGTTTCCTTTTTTAATTATTTTTAATGAATGAGTTCAATACTTTTTCAATTCTTTTGTTACATAACTCTAACTCTTAATAATAGATATAAAAAATCCACGATAAGAATTACTTGGTAGTGTAAGTGATGTAACGTAAGTTAAATATATAGTATCAAAAAAACTAGTTTATTTTCCTTAGACGGTCATCTCCGATAAATTTTTATATATTTTTAAAATATATATAGAATAGTATAGTAGGTATAGAATTCTCAATATCTTGTGAAAGTTTCAAATACAAACCACTTTACTGATTTGCAGAAATCTGACGAAGCAATTTTTTTACCTTGTTTTCCGTGTAACGTAAGTTAAGTGGCACTTTCAGTAATAAGTTTGCCCCATAGCTAAAAGTTTAATTTACAGTTTAAATAGGCAAATATTTGATAAAGTTGTTGCAAGTGTAACATAAGTTAAAAATGGAATTGCCCATATATATCTATATTTATCTATATATATATATATATATATATATATATATATATATATATATATATATATATATATATATATATATATATATATATATATATATATATATATATATATATATATATATATATATATATATATATATATATATATATATATATATATATATATATATATATATATATATATATATATATATATATATATATATATATATATATATATATAATACACAAAAGTATTTGCAGAAATGCTGTTTGGACTCAATATTTTTCTCAACTTTAATTTAAATTTGATGTTTAGAAAATCTGCCAGGTTAATTATTTTTGTTAAAAATAATAACAATGTAGATTTGATTATTATTATATAAGACTACTAAAAGATGAATGAATATTAGATTTGTGATAGTCGACATAATAAATAAATATTTAGATTTTTGGTAGCTGACATAATAAATAAATATTGAGTTTAAGATTTTTGATAGTTAACATAAGATTAAATTTTTTGATTTTAAAGGTTTGGATAAAAGTGCTTGTTATAAAAATTTTATAATTTTATTTGTGGTTCATGTGTAATTAAAATTTGAAGATCTTAATACCAATTTTTTTATATATAAAGTTTATTTTAAAGATAACATAAGTGCAAGAGCCTGGCCAGGTTTCAATGCATGCAGTGTTAATGTTATTTTAAAATAAGATCTGGCCCCAATTTCAGTGTATATAGCCTTGATGTTATTTCAACATTGTATGAATGTTTTATAGTAGATATTATAGATGGTAGATATTAAAAGTTGTTAAATTAAGCTGAAAAATCTGTCATAATGTAAAAGATATGATTATATGCTAAAATTAAATAACATTTATATATTTAAAATAAAGTGTTAATTTTTATTTAAGACACTTTAAAGATTAATTGATTATGCAAAATTAAATAGTTCAATCATTTAAATTTTTGTTTTAGCTCCTCCTGGTTATGCAATGTGGTGTCAATTGGAGATGGAATGTCAAAAGATGCGTTCCACATTAACCAATAGTTTTTCAAGACATACTTCAGAATCATCTTATCAAGCTACTCCTAGAACCCCAAACATAAGTTCAATGCACAGAAATCAACCTATTGCTAGCTCCTCAAAAAGCAAACATTCAAAAACTGTTCCTAGCTTTTATAAAAATTGTGAAACTCCGCCTCCTCCACCACCTCTACCAAAACAAAACAAAAGTTCTTCGTATAATTCACCTGCTTCTAATCTTTTAAAATACGATGATATATCTCCAACAGAAAATTCAAAATTCAGTTTTAAAAATGGGAGGCATACTCCTAGCGTAGATTTAATAAAAAATAATTGTAGATCTCAGTCTCCTTTTATGAGCCCAGTGACTCAGAATAAAAATATTATCTCAAAATCTTATAGTCCTGTGTCTGACCCTCAAACACCTCAAAGTCCTTTTAAAGATCTGACACCATCAGAGTTTTACAATAATAAACTTACTGATAATTACAAGCCTGAATCTGTATCAACTTCCAAAAAAAGTAGCGATGATGAAGATGATGATATGTCTTTATCTTCAATTAGTTCAAATGAAGATAGGAAAGTCGAATTGAATGTTAAAAATGTTAAACATTCAAAGTTATCACGTCCATTAATACATCCTCATCCGCTAACGCAACTTCATTCATTACCGCCCTCTCATCCGCTACCGCAACCTTGTCTGCTAACACAACCTCATCCTTTAACGCAAGGAAATGTTAGTTTAACTGGAACAATTAGACCCACTCATATCTACCAGTATCCACCAAATAATGTTCAAACTCAACTTAATTATTATACTTTACTAGCTCATCCTTTACAGACTAGACAACAAGGACCTCCGCCCAATGGACCTCAAATGGAATTTTTAGTTCGACAGTCTTCTTTTGTTCCTTTAAATAGTCAACCTTCATTTTCACCTTATCAAAACCCTCAAATAGTGCGAACTGCTTTGATACCTATTGTTCCCTCGAATCATAATATTCCAATACAGCATCATCAAATTTCATTGACTCCGGATCATATACAAAATGTTTTATCTGTTGCTGATTCTACAGCTAACATACATAGTACTGGTTCAGTGAGTGAAAATATAGTACCACCCGCTAACATTCCATATACTTCTGATGAACTATTATTAGCTTTCCAGGTGAAAACTGGTTGTGCTCGAGATCTTAGTATTGAGTTGAAAAGTATACTTCTTAAAGATACATTAAAAAAACTTGTTGAGCAATCAGCATTTAGTGCTTTTGAGAATTGGTGGAGTAAACAAGTCTTGAATCACAACAAAAACACTGAGGTATTATCTGAAACTTCAAGCACCACTACAAGATCATTGTCTGAAGAAAAGCAAAATGCTTTGTTAAATCAGCAAGAAACTACAAAAGAACCAAGCACAATATCTGCTTTGCTTCAAACTCTTTTTGGTTTTGATAAAAATAATGATAATAGACCACCATCTTCTAATTTTTTAAGTTCATTTAGAATTACACGAAAACCACACTTACAGCCAACTTCATTAAAATCTTCTCAAGCAACACGTAAAAGATCATCATGGTCATCAATTCATGGTTCTCATGTCAAACAACGACGATTAGAAGAGAGTGAAGATGAGCCAATGGATACTGTTTCAGATGATGAAGGTGAAGATGAAGAAAAAATTGACGATGAATTTGAGCAACTTGCGTTGAGACAAAGTAAGTCATTGTGTTGTAAAATAATTGTTTGATCTTTCTACTTTTCTATTTTTATAATTATTAATATTATTATTGTTGTTGTTACTTATTTATTTGCACATAATACCCCTGCTAAAATAAAAAAAATACTGTAATTATAAAAACAAAACAAACCCCCTCCTCAGATTTAATTTATTTTATTTGCTTGTAAAAAATTTTGAAATATATTTTTATGTATACAGAAAACCTCATAAGTTATTAAATATACTTATAATAGTAGTAGTAGTACCTTTAGAACAATTCCACTTAATTAATTTTGTCACAAAGTAGAAAAGTATATTGTGTTTTTACTTAATAAAATAATAAGAATTCCATTTTCTATCATTTAGTGTTAAGTTTATTTTTATTTGGTTGTTATTTTTCGTTTGTACAAAAAATTTAGAGTAAACTTTATTTGTGTATTTAATGGAATCAAACAAGGTGACTTTAATAGGTTTTTTGAGCATTTTTGCATTAGTATAAAAAAAATTTTTTGAATCTTTTTCTTCTGGTATAACATTATCCTCTAATAGAATTCCATTAAAAAAATTTTTTTGGCCCTAGTATATTTTTTAAAAGTCCAAAAAGCTATTGATCTCACCTCTTTGTTGGAGTGATTTTGATAATGTTATAATTCTTAATGACTTATCGATTCAACCCCCATTATGAATGTCATAAATAGTTTTTTAAAGTTTTATTAAAATGACTAAAAAACTTTTGTAATGTTGATATGATAAACATAACAATATAATATATGAATAATTAGTAATCATAATTAACAGCTATAATGTAACACAAGGTATATCTTTTAAGAGATCCTTAACTGTCTAGACAAGTTGTATTCATATTTAAAAAAATGTTTAAAAAAAGCATTTGTTCTAAATCAGTGGTGGCCAAACCATTGTCTGCAGGCAATAAGATGCCTGCAAAGACTTTTTTAAATGCCCGTTAAACAATTTGGATATTTAGGAGACAACCATCTTGGTAATATGATACTTCTATCTACCTTAAATATCAATCCAGACATTAAAAAACTAGTTTCAGACACAGTCAAGTTAACCACTCCTAATAATTATATTGTTTTGATACAAATATTTATAATAGTTATTAGTAAACTATATCTTCTTAGAAATAAATTTTTTTTGCCTGCAAAATTGTTTTCAACTTTTTTTTGTCCGTATCCTAAAAAGTCTGGCCACCTGGTCTAAATTTTTTTGATTAAAACTAAATAATAAATGTATATAAATAAAATATAAATAGTTTATTTGGGCTTTAAACTTGAATATTTGTTTTGGCATAAAACTTAAATAGTTTGTTTTTCTTAAATTATTGTTTTAGCCAAAGCTCACCTTTATTTTACTTTGACACTCAGAGTCTTAATAATAAAGGCTGCAATCTACAGACTTGATAATTTGTTTTATGCATGTTTAATTCATGATCGTTTTAGTATATGACCTCATCGTGAATTTTTTTCTTTTTTTTTAATATCAAAGTATTTTTTATCCCACAATTATAAAATCATATTTATATAATTATTTCATTAAATATATAAAAAAATTTGTAATACAGTTTAATTAGTGGGGGGAATAAGCATAAAAATGGTTCAAGTAGTGATACTAGCATGAAATTTGGCAAAATTGTTGTTAACAACTATCCAAATTGATTGAGAAAAAAATGCTGTTCATAAATATCTTTGGTTTTGACAAAGATAAACTTTAAATGATGATTACACATAAAAATAACTTCCTATCTTTGGTTATCTTTGGTTGTAGACAAGCCAAAGAGCAGCATTCACCTTATTTAAATATTAATTTACTGTTATTGAGTAACAAGCAATATCCTGTTGCTTGTTAAGAGGTTCAGAATGAAAAATTGTAATCTGTTTGACAGCGAACAACAAATTGTTCCTTAGATAACAACAAATTGTTCCTTGGATGAAAACAAATTGTTTCTTGGATGTTTGCTTAAATCATTCACATTATTTTAGATGGCTTCCAATTTTTCTTGCTAAATTAAAGATGTTTCCTCATAGACAGCCTAAGGTTTATACCGAGTTCTGCAAAGGTTTCTTCAAATTTCAAAGACTTTTCATTTATGGTTATAAATCAAACTGAACAAAACTATGAACAAAACGTCAAAAACTTATTACCAAATTTAAGATAATTAGTTCCATTTCATTGAAATATATATAAATATAGCTTTTTTTAAATATTTTTAACATTATTTTTATAGTTGTTTGTTTGAAGTTATTTCTGCTTTAAATTCTGCTCTTAATGCAGCTTTATATCAGTTATATTGGTTTATATCGGTTTTTTTACATGTTTTAATTGCTTAACTAAAGCTTGTTTTGTGCAAACAAAGTGACTAATAATGTACTCAATGAGTCATCTACCCTTCATCTTCTAAGATTAACTCTTCTGATCTTTCTTGGAAACCGATATATAAGTTTTAAATTATATAAATTGGTTGCAAAGTTAGCATCTGGTAAAGTTGCATCTTTTTATCGTGCTTGACACTTTCTTACTCCGGATACTATTCTTTATCTCTATTTATCTCAGATCCGTCTTTGTATGGAATACTGTTGCCATATTAGGGGGATCTCCCAATAATGCCCTTTCTCTTTTAGACTTTTAAGGTGCAAAAACACATTGTAAACATAAATGGTTAGAGGTTGGCTTGATCGTCGTAATGTTGCTTTTCTTTCTCTTTTCTATAAATACTATAATGGGCATTGCTCTAAAGAGCTAGCGTCTCTTGTGCCATCTACTAAAATTCATTCTTGTGCTACTCGTCATTTAATTAAATTTCATCCTTTTAATCTGACTGTTCCTAAATGTTCCAAAAAATTTTATTCGTCTAGTTTTTTTCCTTAAACATCAGTTCTTTGGAATTCGCTTCCTTCGTCTTGTTTTTTTGATTCATATAATTTGTAATCTTTTGATTCATATAATTTGTAATCTTGCTCTATAAACTTCGTCTTTTCTTATCCATTAACTTCCAACTCTAATAGTGGTTGCTTGCAGCCTTGTTGGAAGTGAATATGTAAAAAAAAAAAGTCCATAAATGTTGTAAAAAGTGCCCAAAAATATATACTTTATGTTTTTATTTTTTTATTTTTTTATTTTTTTTTTTTGTTATTTACCTCCTCAAGGCTGAGAAGGCCACTACAAATGAGGAGGCTACTTAATAGTGGTTATAACCCTCTCTCAACTCTATAACTCCGAAACACGAACCTTGACGAACAAGGCCGCTGCGCGGAGAAACAAGTTGAGCACGGTACTACCAGGGACATGGTGGGGATTGAACTCGGAACCTCTCGCTTATGAAGCGAGTGTTTTACCACTACACCACTACCGCATTTAAAATTTTCAATTGAATTTTAAAATTGCACTTTTGCTGTTATTGGTTGCTGTAGTAATCTAAACACAACTCATATATCTTTTCATCAATTTTTTTCTTTGTTCAAATTAATTATTAATCAAAATATCGTTTTGATAGGAGAAAAAATAAAATAAAAGATTCAGAATATATAATAAATGTGACTAACAACTTTAAAAAATAAAATAAAAGATTCAGAATATATAATAAATGTGACTTACAACTTTAAAACAAATTATTTAAAACAGGTATTTTTAATTTTATTACAAATATTTTTGGATTTTTTGGGATTTGGTAAAAAACTATACAAATAAATATGATTTTCTGCTGGATGCAGTGCCTATGAATATCTGGTTATAAATTTTGACAAATATATAAACCAGGTATTTCAAAAATTTTTCTTGTATAATGGCTTATATTTTATGTCCTTAGCTAGAAAATAATAGTTAAAAAATACAATAGGATTGAAATGTAAATTAATGAAAATCTGACCAAATAAAAAAGAAAAAAATTGAATTTTTGTGTAAATGTGATTGGTTGTAATCAAAAATAAGTTGCACATTCCAGTAGTATCATACTTGGTGTAGTTAAGGCACTTTTAAAATAATAGAGCGTCTGTATGATATTTTGTTAACTGCGACATTTTTCCGTTAAATGGTCTAGTCTGTGAATTATGAAAAGACGAAAAAACTTCAAATGATAAATTTTGCGGTATCATAAAAATTTAAATGCTTTTAGCGAAAAAATCCAGACCGATGATTCTTTTTTTAAAAAAAAATCATCTTAAAATCACAATCGCTCATCCAAATTCAAATAAGATTTTATATTAACAAGTTTTTTAGGTGAAATGAACATTATAGTTTAACAATATGATCTGTTCTGATCGTTTATTGGCAATATCCATAATTATAAGCTCTTTCTTGGTCGGAATTCCAGTATTTTTTGTGAAAATTGATAGAAATATTGTGTTTTGACAACTATATATAGTTAATATATGTCAGAACCGATTAGAACTAGTATCAGTAGTAAATTAAGAAATTAAGAAACTTTTTCAAAAGATTTTAACAAAATTCATATTAATGCTGATGAGCGGAATTGATCTAAAGACTCCAAATTAGTGTTCTTTAGATACACTACTACAGGTAGTAAAAATGTTTTGAAAATTATATAAAAAAAATAAAAGTTTCTTTAAATATTATAAAAACTTTGAGCAAAAAAAAAAATTATAGCATTTAAAGATCTTGTTTGGACATAATATGCTGACAAAATCATGCTAATTCCAAATAAAAGTATTCAAATATTTTGTAAATCGCCTTAACTACATAAATATCACTGGAATTTAACTATTGAACATCTAAATATGGCTAAAAGTTCTTATTTGAGTCGGGTTAATTCCTTTTCAGGAATCACTTCAAAATAATCAGAATCTTAAAAAATGATACAGAGTTATAAATAATACAGATGTCATATAAATTTCAGAAAAATATCACCCTCTTTGATGGTAAACAAATTAAGTGGTTTTTCAATAAACTTAATAGTTTTAAAAGTTACAAAATAGTTGCACTACGTTTGCATTAACATTGTTTTTTATTTCAGTTTTATAAATTAATTTTTCTAAATTCAGGACAAGTATGTAGAAGTGGTTCATCATTGTACCAGAAGATTTATTCAGATGACAGTGAAGATGAAAGTGATGCTGAGGTTTGTATATAACAATAATAAAATAGGGATAGGTTAAACAAATGTAAATATATCAACTGATAGGTTAAATTAGGCAGTTAAGTAAAATTCATTTGTTCTACTTCTTTTTTCATGTACTCAAAATGCAAAAGATGTTTAAAAAAAGTAAAATTTTATGAGTGTTAACATAATTATTTCATGCTGATGATCGTGTAAATGGCTTTAATAATGCAGATCATATTGTACCATATAAAGTCAGGGTGGCCAGTGGTCCTTGAAAACCTGGAAATGTCCTGGAAAAACACCCCTTTTAGCAATAAATCCTGGAAATCCTTGAACTTTTTTCTGAAATACTTCAATATTTCATTATCATGTTTTTACCTTTTACAGAAATATTAATATTGTGTAGATTTCTACTGAATTTATTAATTATATATTTTCTAAATTGCAAAAAAAATTTTGTTAACTGTTACTGTCAATGTTATTAACATCTGGTAATTATATATATATATATATATATATATATATATATATATATATATATATATATATATATATATATATATATATATATATATATATATATATATATATATATACATATATATATATATATATATATATATATTTATATATATATATATATATATATATATATATATATATATATATATATATATATGTATATATATGTATATATATATATGTATATATAAATATATATATATATATATATATATATATATATATATATATATATATATATATATATATATGAGAATTATAGGGTTTTATCTGCCTTGTTTTATGTTGAAAGAATTTAACAATCAAAGTTTTAAATAATAATAAATAATAAAAGCAAACCACTTAAAAAATGATATATTACATATCATTTTTTAAGTGGTTAATATAGATAACATAAACAACTTATAATTTATAATTATAATGAATAACAGCTGTAAAACATGTATTAAATAAATATTAAAAGTCAAGTTCTCACTACATAAAAAAAGGCAGATAGAACCCTATAATTCTAATGTGACGATATATATGTATATATATATATATATATATATATATATATATATATATATATATATATATATATATATATATTTATATATATATATATATATATATATATATATATATATATATATATATATATATATATATATATATATATATATATACTAATATAATGCCTAATACAAAGAACTGTCATTTTCAAACAGAATACAACAAAAAGTATTCTTCTTGGGTAAAATTTTGTATTTCAAATTCTAAAAAAACAAGCTATAGTTATTGCAGAACGGATATTAATATTTCTAACATGGAAGTATCTGCCTCAGATTCTCATCCAACTAGTAAAAAGCATAAATTTAATGCAGAGACACATAATGCAGCAGATATATTCTTTACTGGTAGTTTATTAGTTTTTTATTTTAATTTAATTTTTTTTTTATTTAAATGTTTTCCTGAATTTTGGAATGCTTGTTGCAAATTAATTGGCTGTATTCTATCATTAACTTATATAAAAAATCTCTTAATTTAAAAAAAAAATATATAAATCTGGTAACCAAGGCAGAAATAATATGGAACTTGAATGTGGTAATGTCACATTTTTCTTTAAGATCCTGCTTAAATTTAAATGAAATACGTTATTTAAATGAAATACATATTTAAATGAAATACGTTATTCAAATTCTCTGATTATTCTCTGACAACACAGTAGCATCAAAGTTTACATTTAGTTTACCAAAGATTGAAGTAGAAAAATTAAATAACCAACTAAAAGTAGACAATATTGACATAGGAACAGCACTAAAATGCTATCCAGAAGTATTTCACTGAACTGCCTACATTCTTTCTTAAAAGTTTTTATAAGTTAAAATTGTTAACCAGAAGAGTAATTAGAATTTAAGAAAGAATGGAAGATTATCATAATGCTATTGCAAAATTTACAAGAAAGATGCCCATTAAAGTATTCTTTAATGAGGAATGCTTCTTTGTCTCTTTGTCTCCAAATGCAATGGTTTAAAACAAGGAAGTATCCACTCAATGGAAGTATCCACTCCTTACAAAAGCAAATTCCTTTAGAAACACAATTTTAGAAAAAGAACTGGTAATTCAAGAGCTTGATATTTCACTAAAAAAACTTGAACATTTTAAGAAAGAGATTAAATAGAAGTTTTTGATAACCTAGTTATACTAATCTTCTCAATTGGATAAAAGCTTTTCTACTTAACAGGTCTTAACGAGTCATCCTTGGTGACACTCATTCGAATTGGTTACCTGTGACAAGTGGAGTTCTGCAAGGATCAGTCTTGGGTTCAATTTTATTTGTCATTTTCATCAATGATCTGCCAGATGTAATAAGCAAAGAAAACATTTGTAAGATCTACGCTGATGACACTAAAATTCTGAGCATTGTTAATAGGGCTGTACCGAATTTCGGCTCCTGCTCCGGCTGAAATCTGGCCATTTTTCAAATCCGGCCCAAATCCGGCTCCGGCATAATTTTGGCCGGATTTCTGAATTTTTGGTCAGATATTTATTACATCTTTCTTGCCCGTGATAACACGTATACTTAATATTTTATTTTTACAAATCAATTTTTTAGTAATTTTATAGTCTATGAACTTCATGTTTGTTTAATTTCAAACAACAACACAACAAAAATTCTGAAAGGAAGACACACGATATTCTGCTATAATGTAGGTGTAAAGACTATGAAGTCAATCCTAATCAAGTCATTGGATGAGCGTTTTAAAGGCATTGAGGATAGGCATTGATACTCAGCTAAGCCAATATCTGGAAGAATCAGAAATATATAGGCACTCTGATTCACTACAGTGGTGGAGTGACAACATCCCAGAAAAAAAAGTTCTATAGAATTTCTCTAAATTTTTGAAGCATATAGCATATAGAAACTATAAAATTTATATAAAATATCTATTAATTTCTATAGAAATTAAAATTTTGTCTGGTAACTAAAGGATTTATGTGACTTTTTTAAAATTAATTACTTTTTTAATCTTAAAATTAATTCTTTAAAATAAATTACTTTATTCTATTGCTTATTGAATAATTTAAAAGTTAAAAAACGATAAAAAGTTGCATAAGGTGTACATAAATCGTTCTATGCATAGCGCTTTAAAACTAGACTTAAAAAAGATTATAAAATATGCTATTATTGATTTTTTTTTTCTCATTATGTAATTTAAAGTTTTTAAATATTTAATTTTTCTTTTTAAAAAGTCAGCGAGTAATAAACTGGAAATTTTAATTTTGTACGAATAAAAACTGTGTAATAGCTTATATTTTTACTTGCGATTTTATATAATATTTTTTCATTTATTTATTTTTATTTATTTTCATAAAGCGGTTGATAAGCACAATCACTCGTATTACTAAAAAACTTTAACAAACGTTTTGAATAAACTTTTAATGTTTACAAGGAATTTTATTTTTGGTAAAATAAAGTAAAATAAGATGTTAGAATAAAAATCTTATAGGTATAAAATTTCAGCGAAAAAATTATTCTATAAAATTATTCTTAAAAATTATTCAAAAAACTATTGACGTTCTATTTTTCAGCAGCTGTTCTTGAGCACGCTTCGTTGAGTTTCGGTAACTTTTAACAAAAAAGCGATTGTTATTATTTAAGTAATTTTTTTCGAGTTACTTTTTACAAAAACTTTAATAGCTGTACTTTTTTATTGAATCAAGTAGAATCCTTGAGGTCGCAATCGCGTCACAAAACAAGTTTCAACTTTGTAGGGGAAAAACATTGAACAAAACGCGTGATTAGCGCGTTTTGTTCATTGTTTTAATTTTAAAGCCGGGTTAAGGCATTAAACAAAACGCGCTAACAATGTATTTTGTTCAATGTTTTCCCCCTACAAAGATGGTAACTCGTTTTGTGACGCAATCGCGACCTCAAGGATACGTTTTAATATTAATCCTTTTATTTTTTTTATTTGCGCTTACCAATTTTTAAAATATTTCCTTGAAATTACTCTTAAATACTTTAAATACGTCTAACAGTTAATAAATATTTTTAAATCTATGGAATAATTTTAAAACCTAACAAACCCTCGTAAAATAATTATTTAAGTTAAATATCTAAAACTAAAAGAAAGTATTTTTGTTCAATTTTATCGACAACTTTGCTATTGCTGAAAAATTTTATTAAAATGTTACCTTAAAAAGATTTAAACTTTTTTTTTTATCTGAATTTTTTCTACTTGTAAATAATGAGCATATTTAATTTTTTTGTAATTCAATCTTTTGTATCAATTGCGTGCGGTTTTTAATATACTTTATTAAATGTTAAAACAATCGTAAATTACTTCATTAAAATTCCGCTCAAAAATATCTTTAAATATACTCAAACAAAAACTTTTTTGCTCGACGCAAATAGCCCTAGCTACACGCAAAATCGCTCTTGGACGACGTAAAATTCACATCGCCCAACGCTTTATCGCAAGGCCTGATTTTTATATATATATATATATATATATATAAATATATATATATATATATATATATATATATATATATATATATATGTTTTTATTTAAAATTTTAGTCTAAAAGTGAAAATGAAGATATGGATGAAAAAATGTCATCAGATTCATCATCTAAATCCTCTACTGAAGAGTCTTCTTCAGAATTTTCTGAATCTTCAGAAGAAGAATATACTGAAGCTGAACTAACGGAAAACAAAAAGGTTCTTGTTGAAAGTAAAGAAAAAAACATTAGAAAAAATCAAAAATCATCTACTGCAAAGAAAGACATTGAATTAGATAGTAAAGGTATCTTAAACTTCAACAAAAATTTCATGAAATTTTTTTCATTTAATAAGAATATTTTTTTAGTGTTTAGTAACCAAAAATTTTTCAATCATTGTTTGTAGCGTGTATTTTTGACTGTAACTATGTTACCTCAATGTGTATATATTTTTAAATAGACTAATCCAATTATGAATTGAGCTGATATTTCACCCCCATACAGTATTTTATATATATATATATATATATATATATATATATATATATATATATATATATTATATATATATATATATATATATATATATATATATACACTCACACAAATAAATATACACTCGCACAAATAAATACATAAACATATATGCAATGTTTTTAATTTGTATATGTATTTATGTTTTTTATATTTTTTCTTTGATACCATTTTGTTTTCAGTCATGTTTAGAAGTATGTATGATGAGCCACGTAGAAGAAATGCTAACAAATATATGGATCAAAAAGCAAGAAACAAATCTATCATTCTGTCTAAACCTGAAAAGGAATCGTCTGCTTCAAGTACAGATACAGGAGATGAGTCATCTCATGAAAATAACAAAGAGTTTAATACAATTTCTGACATTTTGATAAAAGAAACAGAAATTCAAACCGAAAATTTATTGAAAAAGTTAATATGGTTAGAACACAACTACTTCACTATACCACCTTCACTGTCATCACCACCATCATCACCATTACCTCAACCAAAGTCATCTACCACAAACCGAAGAAGTTTTATGAATAAAGCTTTGTCAGAAAATGAACACAAAAAGTTTACTATGAGGTGATTTTTTATTATTATTATTATTATTTTTTTTTTTATTTTTTTTTTTTTCCATTGTTGATTTTAATATGATACTTATGTTTTATTGATAATAATGTTAAAAATTATATGATGTTATTATAACAGTCGATTAGAGTTTGTCAAATAAGATCAATTTTTTACAAAGCTGAAAAGTGGCTCATGTAGAATTTTTTATCTTTGTAAGGCTTTTCTACAAAGTAAAAAAGCCAAATTTTATTTCTTTTTTTTAATTTAGTTTTTTTTTTAACCTAAAGGAAAATAAAAAAGCAACATTTAAGCAACAGCCTAGTTCAATTCCTTGCTCGATATCTTTTTTTTTTTTTTTTTTCCTTCCAACAAGGCTGCAAGCAACCACTATTGGAGTTGGAAATTACTGGAAGAGAAAAAATAAAGTTTATAAAACAAGATAGACTTAAAAGATTGCAAATTATGGGGAGTGATTTCCAAAAAACTGATGTTTCTGAAAAAAAACTAGACAAATAAGAATTTTTGGAGCACTTAGGAGCAGTCACAGTAAAAGGATGAAACTTAATTGAATGACGAGTAACACGAGAATGAATTTTAGTAGATAGCACAACAGATGCTAGCTCTTTAGAGCACCACCCTTTATATTATTTATAGAAAAGAGAAAGAGATGCGACATTATGACAATGTGACAATGGTTGAAGGTTGGCTGTAAGAGCAGTTATAACTATGTTTACAATGTGTTTTTCCATCTTGTCTAAAAGAGAAAGGACATCATTTGAAGATCCGCTTCAGATATGGCAACAGTACTTCATACAAGGGCAGAATTGAGATTTATAGAGATAAAAAATAGAGTCCGGAGTAAAAAAGTAGCAAGCATAACAAAAAGATGCTAATTGTGCAATGGATTCGATATATGGTTTCCAAGAAAGATCAGGAGTAAGAGTTAATCCTAGAAGATGAAGGGTAGAAAACTCATTGAATACATTACTGTTCATAAATATAAGAAGATCTAAATTATTGTGATAAAGATTAGCTGAAAAATTAAGTTTTATCTGAGTTAAAGTCCACCAGCCACTGAAAGCCCCATGCTGTAGCAGAAGTTAGTTTTCAAGCTCAAATGCCTCCTCTAAGTTATTTGAGAGTGTTGGTTTCTTATCAAGACAATAATAAATGGTAGTATCATCAGCAAACAATGTCTCCTTCGATGTGAGAACTTTGAGGAACCCCTAAAGAAGAGTGCTGTCCATCAAGGACAACTTTTACACTACAATTGGTAAGGAAGGATTCAATAATCTTAAAGATATTAACTGATACACCGTAAGAAGAAAGCTTATAGAAAAGACCAGCATGCCAAACTTTATCAAAGGCTTTAGAAATGTTCAGAAATGTTGACAGCAATAGCCTTAACTTTTCCACAGCTATCTAATGCACGATAAAACCTATCAGTTATTACTGTTAACTGCAGCAGCAGAGAGCCTAATTTTTGTGATGAAATACAAGATTTCGTGACCTGAGAATAGCGGGCTTTGGTGTTTGACAAAACCCTTTCATAATGGTTTCTAGCAATAGTACACAGACGTCTGTTTTTACTGGAGAATTGTTTTGGTGATAGATATTAGCGCAATGAGAGGAAAACCATGGAAAAGAGTGAGGCTAGACTTGGAATCATTGAGAGGGAATGAAATATTCTATTTTAGTCTGAATCTCAGAAGTTACATAAGAAGCACATTTATTAACAGGAAGACAAGATTTCTACCCAAGGGCCATCACAAAGAAAATTATGAAAAGAGTCCCAGTCAGCTTTTAGGTAGTTATAAGAGGTATGGTGAGAGGAATTCTGATGATAAAGAAGAATGGCAATAGTTTCAAAGAGATCAAAACGTAATCTAAAGCACTTAAGTGAATATGAAGAAACTGAGCACTGACTAGTATCAGAAACAAGACATAAGTTGAGTAGAAAAGGATAGCGAGTTTTGTTGAGTAGAAAAGGAAAGTTGACTGTTTGTGTAAGAAAATGTAGGCCTTAGTTCTTCAGAGTCACTGACACTAGAGTCAAGCCATTCAGTGTGATGCTCATTGATGTCACCAACAGCAATGATATTGGCTGAAGAATAAAGAGAAAGGACTTGGTCAATTTAATCAGAAATAACATTGAAAATAATACAGTCTTGAAATAAAGGAGAGCGATATAGAACAAAGAAAAATGTAATATAGTGAAGTGCTGCTAAAAAAATGCACATATAAGCAGCGCTCGAAGAAGCGGCCGATCAACAATCAAAGATCGTCTACTTTTGGAAAAATTGACATTTTGACTGCCTAAAATTAAATCTGGCCAATCAAATTTGATCGGCAGAAGTCGCTAGTCAAACTTTTGTAATAATTAATACAAAAAAATACAAAAACATTTAAAATACAGAAATTTAAATTAGTTTCAAAATTATTTTGAAATGAATTATATTCTAAATAAAATAATATAGGTAAAAACAGCAAATAAACAACTTATTTAAATTCTGAATAAAATAATTTTAAAAAAAACGGCTAGTTTTATTATAATTTTAAAACGACAAAACAAACAATTTGTTTATTTTTTCTAAAAATAAACAAATTGTTTGTTTATTTTCAGAAAATAAAGTAAGATGTGCCGTTTTTATTTTTAAAGTAAAATAAAAACGGCACATCGAAAATTAATTTATATTTTAAATAAAATAATTAGGATAAAAATGAAAAAACAAACATATTTATATTATAAATAAAATATATATAAAAAAAAAACGGCAAAATTTTATTTTGATTCTAAATAAAATAATTAAAATAAAAACGGCAAAAAAACGATTTATTTAAATTCTAAATAAAATAATTGAAATAAAAACGACATTAGATTTATTTCAATTCTAAATAAATAAATAAAATAAAAACAGCAAAAGATTTTTTTTTTTAATTCTAAATAAAATTTAAACGAACATTTGCTTAAATTCTGAATAAACTAAAATAAATATGGCAAAACTAATGTTAACTTAAATTCCAAAAAAAATAATTAAAACAAAAATGCTAATGTATTATTTATACTCAAATTAAAACAATTAAAAAGAATAGTCTATGGATTCAAACCTATTTTCCTGATGTATTGGTGAATTCTTACAGCTGAACTAAAATTAGTCTCACAATAAGCAAGTAGGTCTAGTGAACTTTGCAAGAGATATGACTTAACAGAATAAAAGTTACTTGAATATTAATGATTGATAGATTTAGAGAAGTTGGTGATGACAATGGTTTTTTGTGTTTTATAGTTTTTGGTACTTTAGCCATATTTGGATTTGTTAATTAACTTGGCTCAAAGCACAGATAGTACTTAGTGCACTATTTTATAGTCCAAGCAATTGCCTCATTACTAATAATAAACCCGAAGTCATAGCAAAGAGATCCAAATTTTCCGCGACAACACACACCAAAAGTATGAACTGGAACACCATCAATGTACAACATGGCATTGTTAGTACTCTTTTCAGTATGGCCTTCAAAACATAAAACTGAGTTTTAAAGTTGCATTCTCATTAAGAGATAATAAAATGATTTGCCTAGCCATAAAAACAGAGACACAAGCTAAAACCATGCATTGAGTCTGGATGATCCACCATTCAACACCCTAAACTAGAAACAATGTATTATAAATACATCTACACAGCCTAATAGATAAAGAATGGACATAAACTATTAATGATTATTTTTTAAATTGCATTTTTTTGTTAATTTCTGTTATTGTTATTGTTGTTATTATTATTTTTATTTTTGTTATTATTGTTATTATTGTATATGCTATATGATAACAATTAACTAAATAATTAACTAAATGACTAAATTTTAATATATATCTATCATATATATTCAAATTATAATGATGAGTGTTTTCTATTATATATTGATATCATAAGCTATTAGTTGACAATAATTATTAGATATTGGTATCATATGCTATTAGTTTCCAACATTATGATATCAATACCTATTAGATGTGTAAGTCATGGGCTAATTGTTATATATTGATTTCAAACACTATCTATTAGGTGTTGTCAAAAAAAAAGTAGGATTTTTTTTTGTTGTTTTTATTTTTTTAGGCCTTTTATTTGTTGTTTTTTTTTGTTGTTTTTATTTTTTTAGGCCTTTTATTTGTGCCATTGTGTACAAAAAAAACATGTTATAAGAAAAGCTTTTAAAAGAAAGTTTTTATTATGATAAAGTTTTTATTTTTTACACAGTGAATATTACCTAGAATTAGTATCTAAATTTTTGAATTCATTAAAAACTTTTTTTAGATCTAGCAAAGATGAAAAACTACTCATATGGGATATTTTAAAACAAGGAATTGATGCAGAAGATTTATTATACCTTAAAGAAGCATTTGAAAGTTTACAACAGGTTGATGCATTTGAAGTAAAAAACTTACGTTGGTGTGAACATCCTAGTATCTTTTGTAATTAGTTAAACATTTAAAATATTGAGTTCCACATGTTACAAAATCATGTACATGCTACAATATTATATTAAATAGTTTGTAAATAAAAAAGTTCTAACTTTTTTAGCATTATACACGTTTTAATGACTTACTAAATTTAATTGTCCATTAATTTTTAAATGAATTTAAAGTTGTGTTAGATAGCTTTCATTTTTTGTATAACTTAGTATCTTATATGTTTTTTGTATATATGCAACATATGTTTGTATTTTTGGCTTAACCATTTAAGTTACTATAACATCTCCTCAAAAGTATAAAAGAAATGAATCTAAATTACGCATCCACAAAAGTGGTTGCGCCCGCACCGAAGGCTTTTATAAAATACCTATAGTAGAAAAGGCTCAATACCTGAAAAGTGCTCTAAGACAGTTGAATGCTAAACATCAAAGTGATATTCAAATGCAACAGATTTCTGATCAAGTAGGCTTTTTATACTTTAGTTTAGTTTTTAGCAAATTTTTACAAATTATTGCATCTATATTTGCTTTTTTAATTGACAGGCTGGTACCGAACATAAAATAAAATCAAGACAAAAGCGTGCAGTGCAGAGAAGATTAGCTTCTTCGATTGCTCAAGAAGAATTTAGCAGTCTTATTAACTACAATAACAAACTTATGGTTTAAATTTCATATTTTTCAAAACTTGATTTGATTTTGAAAGAATTCTAGTTTATTATGCTTTTTTTAAATCATTTTCTAGAGACGCAAAAAAGCATTGCGCTTTTCAAAGTCCAGTATACATAACTGGGGATTATTTGCATGTGAACCAATTAATGCAGATGAGATGGTATGCGAATATGTAGGTCAAATGGTACGCTCGATTGTTGCTGAAATACGAGAACGAAGGTTAGATTTATTTATAAGTAATTAAATGTTTTTCAAAAAAAATTTTGTCTTTAATGTTTTAGGTATGAAAAATTTATTGTTTTAGGTATGAGAAACAGGGCATTGGTAGCAGTTACTTGTTTCGATTGGACTCTGATAGCGTTATCGACGCCACAAAAGATGGTTGTAATGCTCGATTTATAAACCACTGCTGTGATGTAAGTACCTATTTTTATGTTTTTAAATAAAGTTTTTTTGTATAAAAAAATTATTTTATTCTTTATTTTGCAGCCTAATTGTTATGCTAAAGTTATATTGGTAGAAGGTGCTAAAAAGATTGTTATATATTCCAGACGAGCCATCAAACTAGGAGAAGAAATAACGTATGACTATAAGTTCCCTATTGAAGATGAAAAAATTCCGTGTTTATGTGGAGCTGCTCTTTGTAGAGGGACGCTTAACTAGAAATACAGAAATTTTAATAATAGCTACCTTATATAATAAGGTTGTCTTTTTTACATTATTTGCTGCAGTTGTTCAATTGTTGGTAATTTCGTGTTCTACCTGTGCTATATGCAACAAAAATTGTTGCTATGCAACAAAACTTTTGTATTTTTCTTTTTGTTGTAAACAAAATGTTTATTATAAAAAAATATTTTATAAAGAAATTATATAAAACTTAAAAAGTTAACAGTTTTTTTTTTTAATATTTTTTTATTTTTATCAATTTTATTCCCTATCTCATTAAATACTTCATTTAAAATAGTCATGTTAAACAAAAAAAGTCGTTGAAAGTGTAAGAGATGAAAGTAGTAAAATTTTATTTATTAAAATCAAAATATTTATTGTTAATAATTTTAAATTTGTCAAGTTAATATTTTTACAATGATTGTTATTGATTTTGTTTTTTTTAGGTTTTAGGTTAATATAAATATATGTATATATATTTGAAAACATATTTTAAATGCAACCACCGATCCTATATAGAATATAGTGTTATTGAAAAATAACTTTTCTTTTAAATTTAAGAAATGCATTTGTTTATATAATGAACTCTCTTCAAACCACCATTTTGGTAAGGGTTTATCTTTTTTAATTAATTAGTTTATTTGTTTAAAAAAAATATCGAATGGGCTAACATATTATTATTATAATTTTTTTTTTTTTTAATGAATTTTTATTTTTAACCAAAAATTACCATTTAATAATAAATGTTAATGAAGTTATTATAATTTAAATAATTATTATTAACTATGTATTAGGTTTATTATAAATTTATTATATAATATGGTAATAAATATTAATTTATTATATAATATGATAATTTATTATATAATATGATAATTTATTATATAATATTATAATTTATTATATAATATTATGTTTTAGCCTTCTGTAATTGTAGTGAGTCCAAGTTTTCCTACTGCTGCAATTGTGGTTTTGGCAGTTGGAGCTTACATAATTTTCTTTACTATTTCTTTGCTTATTCGTAAATGCATAATTGTAAGTTGTACTTTAAATTTAATTTAGATTTTAAAAAAAATTTAAACTTAAAAGTTTTAGTGAAGACAAGTATTATTATATAAGTAATATTGCTCTATATAAAGTATTTTTATAAATAACCTAGTATAAGCATCAAAGTAGAAATCAGGTTTTCTATCGATAATGCAAAACAGTTAACATTTTATGTTTTAATATCCAACTTTGTGGTGCTTTGGTTGATAAAACTAATAGAATACATTTGAAATATTTATATTTTAAATAATTATTTTTTATCTATTTAGGTAATTATTTCTGTTGTTATATCTTTGCATAATAGTATAGTTTTAGGTTGAACTAATATTTTTAAGTATTATTTTTCCATATTCTTTCGTAGTATATCCAGATTTCTTATTAAGTTTTTTATTGCTTACTTTTAATAATTATTGTTTTTTTTTTGAATAACATACATACTTATACTTTTTTCTTAGCTTTTACATTCACATTCTTTTAAAAAAAATTTATTTTACTCAATTACTATTAGCATCAATTCAAACAAATTATTAATTAATTGATTGTAACAGATAGAAGTTTAATATTTGTTTTTTTATACTTATAATCGAGATGCCCATTTGCAAAACGCGCCAAGTCCGAGTAAACTGATTTCGAGAAAACAAAAAAAAAAAAAAACTACTTTTAGTTGCGCATCAACAAAAATTGATATTTTCTTAGTCCATTTTTAGGACCATAAATTTTTTAATTGGTCCAATATTTGAATAGATGATAAATTTAAGTATATAGAACTTGAAAATAGAATTAACTCAAAATTTTTATTTTTGTGACTTAGCGCTTTTTGCAGATGGGTTCCTCAATTATTTAAGTTAAATTATTTTTTTTATAAACATATTTTTTAAAGTAATTTTCGCAGTTTAATTACTTGGTTTTATGAATAACTTATAATATATCTTATATCAACTAATATAATTTATGATATAATATATCAACTAATATATAATACTTATAATATATAATATATAAACTCTTAATAGTTGGTTATAAATGTTTCTTAAAATTAATAAATTTTGCTAATAGTTTTAAAAAGTTTTTTGTTTTACATACAGAGTATACTAGTAAAATTGGTGTGATGCAATGTTGTGCTCTTTAACACATACACATCATACACATCAGTACGGGCCTAAGAAATAGAAAATTTATTAAAAACAGAAATAGGTAAATTGATGGCTAACTTGAATAGTCTCTCGGTTTATTCAAACTAAAGTTTTATATATCTGATTTATGTGCTCAAAACTTTACCCTAGTTATTCACATTCAGAACCCTGGCTTATTAAAAAAGGTCTCTAAGATTCTATAAAATTTTGTGAGACATATTTGCTGATAGATTAGGAAGTTCAATTTTTTTTTCTGTTATAGATTTTCGTTATTTAATTGTTTTTATTTTTTGTTTCTTTTCATATATGTAAACATAAGACCAAAGGCCAAAGTTTTTGTCCAACGTGGTTCAATGAAATATGTACTTGCCAGACCTGTTGTGTAAACAATTCTGTCGAAGAAACAGGCTGTTTGATAAGTTTTGCTCGTGCATGTGACTTTCCCCTTCCTCATAAACAAGTTTGCATGGAATGTTTGCCTACAAAGCAGGTTTGTATTAATTGATTTATTTAATTGTATTAATTTGTTTATGAGATTATCTTTATAAATGCTATTCTTTTTTTTGTTCAATTAGATGTTTGTCTAGTTTAACTTCATTATAATTTAATTTGATTCCAGTGGTGCGATAATACGTTTTGTTCGTGTTTAAATGGCCAATCGAATGAATGCAGCGGATGCAAGAACACTAACGTAAGTGAATTGAACAACATAATTAGCCTAATATTTTTCTACTTAAACACGATACGAATTATTTGATTTTAGCGGTTGTTATTATTTTTTTCATTTCTACAAGTTTCTGCTAAATAAATATATATATATATATTTTTTTTTTGGGGGGGAGGTTTGAAAATATACTGGTTATAAATCTGATTTTTAGTTCGGAGAGTTTACTGGTTGTGAAGATTGTAAGGAGTGCTCCGAATTTTGTGGTAACTGTGATTGCAACTTTTGTTCTCAACCTGATTCCATTAATTGTTGTTGTATAGAGATAAAACTTACTGGTAACCGAGCACAAAATCCTGGGCATCAAATGAATCCATATGGTGGTTACTCAAGTAATCAGATGTATTACAATAATCAAGGTAATATAATTAACCAACAGCCTTCTTTGATGACTACCGGAAACCATCCAGTTCGGGGTGATGCATTGTTCAATACGCAACAGGCTGCTCAGTTTCAGAACACTTCCTATAATCCTAATCAGTCATTTAGTGCAGGATATCAATCAGCAAATTCAAGACTCTTACCTCAGCCAAGGGAGCAACTAGTTCCTGGACAACAAGCATTTCAAGGGCAACAGTCATTTCGGGGACAACAGTCAGTTCCAAGTAAAATGCTAGGGGAAAGCTCTAATTCTGCAACAATACGACTCTGACCTTTCAATTTTTTTCCCATTTGGTCGTCAATAGACACCAGTTTTAAAATAAATTTAACAGTTAAATACACACACACACATTGGTTATATTTATTTATTTATACTTGTTAATAAATAATGTTGGAAATAGTTTTATATATTATATAAAAATAGCTATATATTAAATGTTAATATTATGTAATAATTTTTTAATTTGAATAATATATATTAACTTTAAAATACTAATATAACTATTGCAGATTCTAAATTTGTTCTGGCTTTACAAAAAAAACCTTCGTATCTACTTATAACACCTATTTTAAATTATTCGATATCAATTTTTATCCATAAAAACGTTTTGCTTATTCTGTTGCTTCAGACTTTTACAAAAAAAATTACACGACAAAAAGCAATAAAATTATCTCTTTCTAAAGGTACAAAATGAACATAGTGATCCAGCTACTGCTTCTCGTTTATTGACGAATATATTTCGTCTAAGACTGTCTAATTTGTTTTTATGACTTTTTAAACTCTTAACAAACTTGCTTATTACTCTATACTGCGGTCAATTGTTGTAATATTTTGTCAAAACACAAATGCTGTGGGTGGGTCAAAAAAAAAAGAATTATCAAAAAGAATACACTAAAATAAAAAATCAAAGTTTCTTGGAAACAGATATAAAATGGTTTGTAATTTCAATGAAACCACTGCTATACCTTCAGTTGACAACACTCCATGTTCATCGCCTGTCAAGAAGTTGTTCAATAAAGCAATTATACAGGATCCTCAAAATATTATTGAAGACTTTAACTTTATTATAGGCAAAAAAAAAAGCAATAATGCTTCTTAATTGTCCAGAATGTGAAGAGTTAGTTAATTTGCAGTTTGATCCTTCCAAAAAATATGGCCTAATTATTTGAATAAAAATTTGTTACAATGGTTGTAAATGGAAAAAAAAAATTTTCATCTGCTGCTGTTAACAACAAAAACTGTAATGCCAAACAATATAATCTTGTTAAACATAATTGTGTTGGACGTCATTTGACATTAACACTCATGTAGTAGTTGCATTTCGTGAAATGAGTAAGGGATTATGGGTAACGGAATGTCAACATTAGAAAAATTTTGTGGAATTATGAATTTGCATTCGACAATGAACAAAAATAGTTATAATGATGGACATACTGTTGGATGTTTCCTTCCTTAATTCTGTTCTTTCCACATTTTCAAAAATTTTAGAAAGAATTATATATAACAGAGTATACAAATATTTTCATGTTAATAAATTACTTTACATTAATCAATTCGGTTTTAAAAGGATAGCTCAACTGAACATGCAATTATCCAATTTGTACGTTTTATCTCAAAATCATTTGAAAAATCACAATATACTCTCGGACTTTTTATTGATCTATCAAAAGCTTTTGATACGGTTGATCATCAAATTCTAATCTATAAACTTAAACACTATGGAATAAAAAATAAAGTTTTAAATTGGTTTGAAAGCTATTTGTCAAATCGTAAACGATTTGTTCCGAGTAATGACGGTTATCATACCAATTGTCTTTCTATAACATGTGGAGTCCCACAAGGCTCAATTCTTGGTCCACTCCTTTTCCTAATTTATATTAATGATTTAAATAAAGCCTCTAAAGTAACAAGTATTATGTTTGCAGATGATACTAACTTATTTCTTTCTAACAGTGGTATCTTTGAACTTTTTAAAACAATGAACAAAGAGCTTATACATGGTTTGAATGTAATAAGTTAACTCTAAATTTTAATAAAACAAAGTGGACCTTATTCCATTCGCTTTCCAAAAAACGGTATTTGCCATTAAACTTACCTAAAATTTTTATTGTTCAAAATGAAATAAAAAGGGATTCCGTAACAAAAATTTTAGGTGTTTATCTTGATAAAAACATCACTTGAAATCATCATATCGATTACATAAGCACTAAAATTTCAAAAAGCATTGGAGTTTTATATAAAGCATGAATCTACCTCAATAAGAAAATTTTAATCAAACTTTATTATTCATTTATACAAAGTTATTTAAATTATGCTAATATCGCCTGGGGTAGTACAGAAAAAAGTAAGTTGCAGCGTCTTTATCGCCGTCAGAAACATGCTATCCGTTTAATCTGCTTTGTAAATCGCTTTTCTCACGCAAAACATTATTTTATTGAAATGAGAATTTTAAATATATACGAGCTAAATATATATAATGTTTTATGCTTTTTATACATGTGGAAAAATGACTTGTCTCAATCTGTCTTCAAAGATATTTTTACTCCGAAACCCATCAACAAATACAATTTGAGAAATACTGATTTTTTAAATGAACCTTTCTGTCAAATGAACTTTAATCAATTTTGTATTGCCTATCGGGCACCACACCTTTGGAATAAAATTGTTTTGCCCAATTTTGACTTCGAACTACCCATTTCTTTTTCGTTTTTTTAAAAGTAAATTAAAAACCCTAATTTTTTCATTAGATGACGTATTATGTTATTATTAATAATATGAATTAATAACTTTGCCTTTTCTTATTTATATTTGTGAAAAGTTTATTCTTACTTATTTTGTTGATTTTATATTCTTTACTTAACGTATACGTTTATTTAAAATATTGGTGAGTAGATCCGCGTGATCTCTCTTTGGATTATATAATATATATTTGGATTATATATATATGAAATTTGTAAAAATTTGATACTGTTAATGCTTGTTTGAACTTATTTAAGGTTCTGACGACAAGATCCTTTGATCTTTTTTCAGATACCTTATTTTATATTTGTGAAAGTTCATTATTATTATCATTATTTTTTTTTTTGGCAATATATAGTTGTAATACGACCAACAAATGTAAAATTAAAAAAAAAAAAAAAAAATGTTTATCCAAGTTTATACATTTCTAGGTGATGGAGATAGCAGTTGATATGTTAGTGTTGTTAGTGTAAAACCTTATGAAGATATAATAGAAATAAAAAAAAGAAGCAGAATGCATTGGGCATATTCAAAAACGTGTTGGTACTCGCCTAAAAAATAAAAAATAGTAAAGAAATTTTATGTAATAGAAAAAAAAATTTTCTATTACATAAAATTTCGCTTAACTGAAAATGTTAAGCGACCTGCTCGCTTAACATTTTCAGTTAAGCGAGCAGGTCGCTTAACTGAAAATGTTATAAATACATTGCAAAACTATTATGGCAAGGCAATAAAGCAGAACATTGGAAATTTTTATGGAATGAAAAAAAGTGTTGTAGCTGTACTTTTTCGCTGTTCTGAAAATTGTGATAGTAAAAAACAACATCAGTTTAGTTTACACACTAAAGATTCGTGATGCAAGTTCTAAGCCGACAAACTGACTAGAAAAAGATATATAAAAAAATATTTGTATTTCTGTAGCTGTATGTGATGCTATCAAACCAATATTTAAAGACCTTGGTTCTGATGAACTTCTTGAAAAATGTTTACACGGTAAAAAGCGAAATCTCAATGAGTTATTAAATCAATTAATTCATGATGTCCAAAAGATGTATTTATTAAAAGAACTGCTTTAAGTATTGGAGTAGCGTCAGCTGTACTAAATGAATCAGCAACAATTTTTAGATAAGTTGTTTAATGAACTTGGAATGACATTTGGTTTGAATGCGCAAAATTAATGTATACATAAGGACGCTAAAGGAGTCGTTAAAGCTGAAGAACAATGTAAATTTAAAGCTAAATCTAGAAGTTAAAAGCAATACATAAAGATTTTTTTGACCAAAATAAAACATTGGGAGGTGTAACATATAAAAGCGGTTTTTTTTTATGAACAAAAAAGCGGCTGCTAATGATAAACAGCGCAGAAAAGGTATCCGCTCCCAAAAGAATGGATATTTTGATAATTTAGAAGAAAAGGAAGCTATTTCTGTTTATAAAGCTGGTGGTTATTGAGTTTATTTTATATTTATCTATGCATTATCGTATATTAAACCATGTCCTGATCTTACCTAAACAATGATATATTATATAACTAGATATCTAATTTGCGGGATTTTATTGGACAAAAAGTGAAACCGCTTTTTTTTGTTTATAACAATAGTCCGCCATTTTTAAAAAGGGCAAAAGCTAAACCGAAATGTAGAATAAACGTTAAAAATGCAAATCAAAAGTTTCCAATAAATTAAAAATAATTCAAAAACACGTTTTAACAATTATAAAATACTTTTAAACGTTTATTTATGAGCCTATGTTCATTGAAAAGTATTTTAATTCATTAAAATGCTTCAAAATAGTAAGACGTTTTACTTTTCTATTCAAAACTTTATTCCTTTTTTAATCGAAAATAAATTAAGGAATCATAAATTATTATTTTACAAGTATTATAATTTCTACTTAACACTTTTACGTAAATATTTAAAATATTAAATTTAAATTATAGTCACTTTATTTAAGAAAAAAAAAAAGTTAAAATATTTGTTTATGAGCATTTTAGTGTTCCAGATAATGGGAACTATTTGGGTTAGCTAGAACTTGTGGCTTAGTTTGACCCATTTTTGAAAAATCACAACACAACATATGCTTATAAAGGTAAAGGAAATCCATCTTACTTATCAAAAACAATATGCTAAGAGTTGATTAATATAATGGGAGAAAAAGTGCGATCTCGCATTATACAAGAGATTTTACTCGCTCACTATTTTAGTGTTTTAGCCGATTCAACTCCAGACATTGCTCACATTGACCAACTAGGTATAGTTGTTCGATAGGTTTTGCCTAAGTACGGAAAGCCAGTCGAATGATTTTTAACATTTTTAATTATGAAACCTAACCTCGGCGCGGTAATTGCAGAACTGGTTTTAAAATTTTTTAGACGAGACTTGTCACTTAGATTTTAAATATTTTAGAGGTCAGTCTTACGACAATGCCGCAAGTATGTCGAGAGTATACAAAGGGATGCAAGCAATAATGTCTAATCATTCAGATTAGACATTATTGCTCAGGGCATGCGGTATATATACCGTGTGATACGCATTCGTTGAATTTAGTTAGACAAACTTCTTTAAAAAATTAACTGCTTGTTTGCCGTTAATTTTTTTTCTATCGTCCAACTATTGTATACATAGCTGGGATGTCTTAAAATAACACATTGGGAAAAAAAAAAGTACTCAAATCATTATCAAAATGCGTTGGGAGGCTAACGCAAATGCCATCGAAGCAGTTCTCAGTTTAAAATTCTTTTAAAGCAATTTTAACAGCATTGAATGAGATTGCTGAAGATCCCTTTCAAAAAAGTAAAACAATATGAATGTATTGCAAATAAAATGGAAACTTTTAAATTTGTCTTCATGCTCGTATTGTGGAAAAATTATTTAAGAATAAACCCATTCTTCATGCTCGTATTGTGGAACAACATTTTAATTAGTTTCGATCGACAAGCAAAGCTCTTTAGTCAGAACAAATTGACCTCAAAATTTGCGCTTTGATGTTTTCATCGTTAGAAAGTATATCAGACAAAATTAGAGACAGTTTTGATGAATTTGAAAACAAAGCAAAATCAATCTCGCCAGGTATTAATTATGCGAATGTTACAATGCAAATTTGCCTAAAACGATGAACTTCTAAATAGGGATGTACCGGAATTCCGGCCGGAATTTTTGACTTTTAGATCAATTCGCTTCTGGCTGGAATTAAGTTTTTTTTTTTTACTTTTTTTTATGACTTGTGACACAGGCTTTGTAAATAAATAAAAAAAAATATTATCCCACAGAGCAATGAAGAACGTTAGGTAAACCGAGGTAAAAATGTAATTTTTGCAAATGTATTTGCATTACTACTATTTCTGCAAATAAATTTCATTTGCATTTTTTACCTAGAGTTCTTCAGCGAATTGATCTAAAAGAAAAAAATCCGGCCGGGATTCCGGTACATCCATACTTCTAAAGAACTTCAAACCCCGTACGCGGTATTACCTGTTCGAGTTTTCGTATAAACGAGTTTATAGTAATTATTGATAGATTTAAGAGAATAGAGCAAAGCAAAGTTTATTTAGAGGTTACGGAAATGTTTTCTTTTTAGCTAACTTTAAACTTTTGGAAAATGACTATCGACAGAAGGTTTCTAATTTAGTTTATTTTTATTCTAACGAAGAAAACTCAGTTCTCTTATTCTGAACTTCATCATCAAAAAATTAGTTCTCTTATTCTGAACTTTACGAAACTTTGTTTCATGACAATCTTGCATCTGTTTTTCCGAACGTCGAAATTGTTCTTTGCATTTTTTTTTAACACATGATTACAACTTGGTCTGCGGAGCGCTCGTTTTCAAAAATAAAACGATATAAAATGAGCAAATAAGTACCATGCTTCAGGAGAAATTAGGCATCGAATTAGATCTTCGCTAGATCTAATTCGATTCGAATAAACAATTTTATCGATAAAAGATATAGGAAAAAAAAATTTAAAGACATTATATAACAATGCCAGTTTCGTAAATTATGATATCCTTTATAAGTTGTTTTTGCAAATGTCCTAATTATAAAGGTAAAAAAAGATATGTAAAACATATTAAAAAAAAATTGTAGTATGTTTAAAAAAATAATAAATACCAGATTAATCACATAATATTTTATATTTATGAAGAAAAGGCTGATGAGCATTGGTAAATATTTATATTAATGAATGTATTTACTTTATTACTCAATAATCTTACAAAAATAAATTTTTTTAATGCAAAATAGGGGCCCCCAAAAAGGTTTAGTGCATAGGGCCCTAGTTTTCTGGCACTGACAGTTCCAAAAATAACCAAACAGAATTCGAGTGATTCGAATATCGAAATAGAGAATAAGAATAAGTTTGAAATAATTAAAAAACTTTTAATTTTTAATTTAACAGAAAATGACTAATAATTGAATCGAAATTTAAGAAAATGATTATGACTCTAATTAAATTTTTTTTAATTAAAAACTGATTTTTCAGTCAATGCAGCAACACTCCTCGTATGTTAAATAAAATAATAATACATTGATCAGACATCATTTCTTCAAGAAATCAAGTGTCGATACTCTTCTGCTTTCCCTGTTTTCGATAATGATCTACATTTGTTAACTTCAACACAAATGCTTTTTAACATTAATCAGAAAATCATAATTTTGATCCTAATTATTAAAATGAATTTCAGCAGTTTTTTTTTACCCTAAATATTTTTCGAGCATTTATCCAGTGGCTTGATAGCTCAGTTGTTTAGAGCGTCAAACGAAAAGTTAAAACCCGGTCTGTTAAAATGATACAAGTTCTAATCCTGCCACCGCCTACTCAGCGCGTACTTAGAGTACGCAGTGTGTAGGCGTAGTAGTACTTCAGTGCAAAAATGTTGGTCAATAACGGACGCTACTTTGGATTAGTCTTAATGACTATTTGCGGCTGTTCCTATGCTAAGCAAACAATATCTTTGGATATAAGAATATTGCATAGAAAAATATGGCAATATTTTTCAATACTTTTTGTTCGTTGCTGCTTTTCCGGTTTATCTCTTTTTTTTAAGATAGAGCTCTCACTTTTTAACGACGCCCTTTCTCGCTTTTTAACGAGGCGCCGTAATCGCTTATTCTTCGGTTTCGATTTGAGCGGGATTATGAAAATATTAAGTAAACAAATAAAATGAAGCTTGCAAGTAATGCTAAAAACGTGTAAGCCACTTTTATATTTTCGTTAGGTTTTCTAAACTGTTAATAATTTTTAAATATAAGTTGTTTTTACTATGTGAGTTTTATTATGTCAAACGCGACATAATAAAACTCACATAACTTATGTGATCGTGAGTTAATCACGATTGTGTACGACCCTTGTTCTTCTCAGAAATTACGATAAAGCACTTTTCAGTTATGAACTTTGATCACTACTTATAATATTACCAAGAATAAAGAGGGAGCATTAAGCCCCATGTTTTCAAGAATTTTTTTTTCATTTTTTCTCTTTTTAAAATTAGTAAATAACTATTAAATTTAAACTGGAAATATTTTAACTGATTGACAACACATATTTCTATTTGTATAAAAGCTCTATTCAAAAAAATTTACAGTCATAGTAAAAAAAAAAGCTAAAAATTTATAACTAACGTTAACTCAAATTTTAAAAAACGGAGGCAATAAATTCCAGTATGTAAAACATATATTTTTACATTATTTGTAGGCAGTTCTCACAGATTCAGTCCATGGCTTCAATATCTCTCCACCGGGAAGTTTTGTGCATTTAATATGGTCATCACATAATTCAAAACACACAAATTCTTCTCCTTAACCTCCATGAATAACATACTTTAAACACAACACACACTGTTGTTATCCTCTTCACTGTCCATATCATATCCAGCAGGAAGATATATTTTCTTTTTCTCATGGTCTTTTTTGTTGGAGCGTTATCTTTTTTTGCTTATTTTTTCAGTTGCTTCAAACACTCATTGCCTGTTAAGCTTTCTACGTAGCAAAGCATGATACTAGCCAACCTACCATGCACAGAAATTTGAAAAAATCTAGGCTGCAGTTCTTTGAGAAAAAAGTCTACAATAAAAGATGTGTTGTAATCTTACTGCAGGAACTCAAAATCTAGCCAATGTTATTTAATTGTTTTAATCAATTTTTTTTGGGGTGCAGTGAGCCCCTGTTAGTTAAAACATTTATTTTTATAAACTAGTTAATAATCAACAGAGCCATATTTCTCTAAGAAATGCTATCCATTCAAAATATTAAATAAAAATTCAATATTAAAGAGAATTTTAGAGCTATTTATAAACAATCTCTTAGACATTCATCTAACTGCCATTTTACTTTGCTAAAATTTCTACCTTCGTTTGCTCTATAAATATCAGTATTTTAACTCATTACATACACAGATAGTTAAAAAGTTTATAAAAAGTATTCACTTAATCTATATGTACTTGTATTTGTATGGAAAATAAAAAATTTTAATGTAAAAAAAATTTTAAATTCAAAACAAACAAGCACTTGCTTAGCTGAACTTTTTAAACAAAGTTGAAGGAAACTGAAAACAGAAAAACCACTCATCTATAAATGTTAATTAAACATCCATGCCATAGCAGCGTTAAGGAAATGTTAGAAACCCAAGAATATTAATAAAAAGTGTCCTGATTGGTTAATTAGTCTCATTATGGCCCCCTATTACCCTATTAAAATCATTTTGAAATTTTCAATTATAAAAAATTTTAAAATTTACTCATTTACATCTAGAATAATTGTTGATTCTTTATTTGCAGTATTTTAATTACAATATGAGAAAAATAACTTTTAACAATATATCTAATATTTTATCAGAAAATAATACAATGAAAAAAAGGATTTGTTTAATTAAAAAGTACTCATATTTTATTAAAATAAGTATTTTTTTATAAAATCTCATTTTAAAAAAATGATAATAAGTTCATTTAAATGAAGTTTTAATAAGTTGTTTTTACACATGTAAAAAATTCTTATGGTTTATTTTCATGAGTAGATGATTAAAACTGTGAGGTAAATAGAACATTTTCATGAGTAGATGATTAAAACTGTGAGGTAAATAGAATATTTTAAAAGTTTAATATTTAAAAAGTTCTATTATAGCAAAAATTACGTATTTAAAAAAAAATTTATGAATGAATATTTTTTCCTGCACTTTTTTTAGAATAGTAAGTTAATAAAATGTAATGTTGTGAATTTGAAATTAAAAAAAAAAAACTTAAAAAACTGTAAATGGTATTTGTCAGGGAATCATGACAGTGGGAGAAAGTTCCTATGTAGTGGTTCCTGTGACTTTTTTAAGTTCAAAGGAGTAGTTAAAATAAAGGAATGCAAGTTAGCTGAATGATGAGTCAAGCAAAATTAAGTTTTGGTTGTTGGAACAAGTAATGACAGCTCGCTTGAGCAACAACCATGGTACTATTTGTAGAAAAGAGAAAGAAGTACAATCCCTTTCAACAGTGGGAAAATAGTGAAAAAGGTTTAATAATATTTACAATTTTTTGGACTTAATAGAGAAAGATCTAGTTAGAAGAATGAATTCAAACATGACAACAATATTGCATACTAAGGCAGATAAGAGATTTAGAAAATGTAGAAAATGGAATCAAGAGTAAGAATATAATGAGCATAACATAAAGTAGAGGACTCTTTAATGTTGCAACTCACAATATATCAACAGTATTGCGACAAGTATTAGCAGTAAATATTTGAATTTTAATAGGATTAAAGCTCACCAGTTTCTGCAAGTTCAAAGCTGTCACAGAAGAGAGATAGGATTCAAGATGCTTGGTAATTGTAGTGGTAAAAATAGTTGGTAGTGGTGTAGTGGTAGAGCACTTGCTTCATAAGTAAGAAGTTTCAAGTAGGATTCCTACAACACACCTGGTAGTACTGCGCTCAACCTGTTAATAATCATAAAAGTTTCTTATGCTCTATTCGACTAATGTCGACTCTATACAACTTAGGTCTTCTTATCCTAGTCAGTTTCTCCACATTCACCCTTCTGATGCTTCTGATTTCTGTTTGATCTCTCCAAAACTATAATCTCATTTTTCTTCATCATCAGAATTCCCCTATCATCATACCTCTTAAAGCTGACTGAAATTCTTTCCGTGATTCTCTTTGTGATGCAAGGGTCATCAGGTAGAAATTTTTTGTCTTCCTACTGACAAACGTGCTTCTTACATAACTTCTGGTATTCAGACTGGCATAGAATCCTTTATTGTCTTTCGACAATTCCAAGTCAAGCCTTACTCTTTTCCATGGTTTTCCTCTCATTGTGCTGCCGCAATTTCCAACTGTAACCATTACTTTCATATCTATCAGCAAAACAAATCTCTTAAAACAGACGTCTGTTTACTACTGTTAGAAACCATTGTAAAAGGTTTTGACTAATACCAAAGCCCGCTATTCTTAGGTCATGAAATTTCTTATTGAATCTTTGACAGTAGCTATAACAAAAGTAAATCTGTTATTCCACCTTTCTTGTGTGGTTCAGTTTTTGTCACCTCACCTAAAGACAAAGCTGAATTGTTTACTAAGAACTTCTCACCAATATCATCTCTTCATTCCACTAGTTGCATTCTACCAGATATAGCTGACAAACAGGTTGATCCATTGCTTGATATTCGTATCACTCCAGCTTTTGTATCTAAAGTGATTTCTTGCTTAGACTCTTCTACAGCTTGTGGTAGGACAACATACCTGTTATAGTCTTGTAGAAGTGTACTCCGGAGCTGTTGTCATTATTTTTAAAACTATTTAACAAGTGCTTAACCGAGTCTTGTTTTTCAGCCTGCTGGAAAGCAGAATCAGTTATCCCTATTTTTTTTCCTAGTAACTCCCAACATAATAGTGGTTGCTTGCAGCCTTGTTGGGAGTGAATGCAAATAAAAAAGAAAAAAAAATCAAGGTTTTTAAGACTTTAATTAACAAACACTTAATTTCTGATTTTGATTCTAATAATTTACTCTCTGGTCATCAATATAGATTTCAAACTTCTTGTATACTGCTGATTTGTTAATGGTAATAACTGATATGTTTTATTGTGCATTAGATAGATGTGGAGAGGCTAACGCTATCACTCTCAACATTTCTAAAACTTTTGATAAAGTTTGGCATGCTGATTTTTTCCATAAGCTCTCTTCTTATGGTTTATCAGGTAACATTTTACAGATTATTGAATCCTTTCTTACCAATTGTAGTATAAAAGTTGTCCTTGATGGACATCTTATCCTTATTCTTCATATCCTGTAACTTTAGAGGTTCCTCAAGGTTATATTCCTTGGCCTTATATATTTTTTATTTTACATTAACGATTTCCTAGAAATTCTCACATTTAAGATGGCATTGTTTGCTGATGATACCACCATTTAATCTTGTTTTAATAAGAAGCCAGCACTCTCTGATTGCCATATCAGGGGCAGATTTTTTAATGATGCCCTTTCTCCTTTAGTCAAGGAGCAAAAATGTATTGTAAACATAGTTGGACCTTTTTTTTAGTAACCTCCAACCATTATCACATTTTTGTAATGTTAATTGTTATTTTGTTCTATAAATTTCATCTTTCCTTTTCCAGTAACTTCTAACTGTAATAGTGGTTGTCTGTTATACTATAACTGTAATTCTTCTCTCTTACAAAACTTTCTGTATATTTTGTGCAATTTTAAAGAAATTCAATTATATCACACTCAATAATATTTCCTTTTGTCTCCAGAGCACTTTCAGTTTCTCTTTTCTTTACATATTTTTCAGTTAAAATTAAGAAGAAATTAGGAAATAAAAGATTTTCTTATACTTTTTGTTATACTAAAACACAAAGTTTTAGTGTAACAAAATTCTCAAAGTGGATGACTCTTTGTATGTTTGCAAAATTACATAATGTAAACTAGAAATAGTGGGCAGATATTTAGATCAAAAGTCTTAAATGTGAAACGTGTTTTCTTTATTACTGTTACTGGTTGCCATTTACTTTAACTTCAATATAGATTTTATTCTTAAAATTAGAAGAATAAAAATTAGTGTGGCAAATTTAGACTTGTACAAAAAGAAAATATATAAATCGAGCAAAAATGTTGGTCATTAACGGACGCTACTTAGATTAGTCTTAATGACTATTTGTGGCTGTTCCTATACTAAGCCAACAATATTTTCGGATATGAGAACATTGTATAGAAAAAATATAGCATGAAAATTCAAATAAAAAAACAAAAAACAAATAAAAAAAATATGGGATATGATCCCTGTTGTTTTTGATGCTTGTAATTGCTTTGGTATTGATTCAATAAGCTTTTCTATTATCTTGATTAGTATTTCAAGCTAAAGTTTCGTCTGTTTTTTTTACGCTTTGTGACTATTTTTCATTTTTTGATAATCTATCCACCTCTATAAATTTTCGATCAGGTTTAAGTCAGGTGATTGAGCTAGTTGAGGCATTAGTTTAATATTACTTTTAAGAAAATAATCTTCGATTGAATGTGCTTTATGATGTGGACTATTTCCTGGTTGAAACAACTAGTCTCAGGGTGTGGCAAATTAACAATCGTACGAATGTTTGTTTAAAAAAGACAGAAAAACAAGTGCCATTTTTCTTTACTTTAACATTGGCATTTGCTTAAAACCTTTCAAAATGAATGCATTACTTTTTTTCCAAATAATTATGCGAATGATAGTTTTTTTATTTATTATAAAAACACATATTTATTATAAAAAACAATTAGTTACTAAAATTTAAATTATGCTTTAGCATGGTTTTTGCATGGGTTTACAAAATCATACAAAATTTTACTTAAAATGACTTTAAAAGAAACTATTATTGCTTTTTTCAGTTTTTTAAAAATTTTATAATTTTCGTTAAAGTGAAGTAATTTTTGTTTGCATATAAAAAACACTATATATAATACTATTATTTTTAAAGGTTTTAGAAATGTCAAAACAATTTTTATTTTATTTTTAGTCCATTTTAGTATAACTTCTTTTAGTTTATACATTATTTTACTAGTAATAGTTAATTTATTGAAGTACAACTGTTTTGTCTACAAGCCAACTATTAACAGCACTTAAAGCTGATAATCCTGCTTTTAGGTTGCGTCCACTTAACGTGTAAAGCATGTATTCATCACGTGTTGATTTTTTAGGATGCCCAATATGAGGTTTATCAATGACACTACCAGTTGATAAGTGACTTTATTGTTATACGAGCGCTGAATTCAGAAATATTCAAGCGTTTGCCCATTTTTTGATTCTTCATTTTCATTTTATGCATGCCAATGACTTGCCATTTGATTTTTGATGACAGCTCTTTTGCCTATATAAGTATGATCTCATGACAAGGTTTTTTTAGTTGAAAATTGTTAAAAAAATTGTTCAAATTATAGTTGCAGTCTTTATTCAAAATAAAATAAAAACATGAAGCAAAGAACAATGAATGAACAATATCTTAACATTAGCAGGTGATAAAATAGAGTGATAAAAATTGTGAAAAAAACTGCAAGAAAAATCTATTTTCTCATCACCTTCCACCTCCTTTATGATGTCCTTACAATATTTTTCTTATTTAATTTATTTAATTATACCCAGAGTATAAATAAAAAAGAGTATAAATAATAGCGGGAGTAAATGAGTGCAAGAATGGGGGTCTCCTAGAGCGATCATGGCAAGCCATGCGAGCTGCTCCACTAAACAGCTTCTTACTTTTTAAGAGCCTTTAGGTTTTTCATCAGCTATCTGTTTATTCATTAAAAAATTGCGTATTAAATACAAAATCTGGTTTTATACTTGTTACAAGCTTTTGTTAGTAACGTTAATGTTACAAGAATATATACATAATAAGTATCATTTATTGTGCCATGAAAAAATAATATAGAAGAGCATTGTCTTTGAGATTTCACACTAACTATCCATTTATTTATTAACAGTATATCATTCATTTATTAACACTAAACAGCTTCTTACTTTTTAAGAGCCTTTAGGTTTTTCATCAGCTATTATTAATAACAATTCTTTTTTGATAGAAAATTTGACTAAGAGCTATAAAAGTTTTTACTGCTTATAAAAAAAAGTTTTATATACCTTCAATCTTTGTAACCTCCTTCACTGCTCATTCCACTATTTGTGTATGACATTTAAATTTTGGTACAATAAAAGGTTTTGCCACTGCAGCCAACAGTTCATTATTTAACATGTTCCTAATAAATAGAGGTTCATCTTAATCATTAATTGCCACTTAATTGCTTTAAAATCCAGTTCAAGTACCTGAAATAGACATAGTGAAACTTCATTTTTGTGATTAGCTTTGGCTTCAATGATCATTTTAAAAGCATTTCAGGAGTCTGGTTTATGGGATGAAACTAATTTAGCAAGCCAAATGTACCCCTGATCTGTAAAAAAATGTCCTGTGCATTTATGATCTCTTTTTACCTTCAATTAACTTAAATGTTTCAGCATTAATAAAAGTAGATTTTGAGGACTATAAATTGCAAGGTTATAAGTTTTTAGTAAACCACATAATCCCACAAACATTTACAATAAATCTTGTCAAAATGTTAGTAGTTGATAGTTTTATTGTACATATATACATAAAGCCTTCATATGCAATTGTCAGCTGTCTAAAAATGTTGTATGCAGTGGTGAGCTACCTACAGTGGTTACAATATTCATGCGCTCCAAATTCTTATCAATGATTATCTCTACCTTCTGCTCCAATGTATTAATGCTTCAGTGACTTCAGTTCTGTCATTGATATTTTTTTCTTTGGCTGCAGAAATAGTTTTAATTTTACTATCAGTTAATCTACATGACCAATAAACTTACCATCAGGGAGTGAACAATTGTAATATGTTCCTCAGTTTCCCTTGGTTTACAATATTTCTCACCTGTTTTATTCACCTATTCCAACTTGGGGACATTCTCATTATCAGCAACTTTAAACAAACCTGAAATATTGCAAAACTTTATTTATGAAAACTTATTATACTATTGGTAAGGATACAGGTAAACACTTTCAACTTTCAACACGTAAACACTTTCAACTTGTGACAATTTCTGCAATAATAGAATTATCTAGTTCTCTTTTTGCAGAGGTAATTTTTAATTCAAAAAAAAAAAAGTTATTTAATTGCAAGAGTTTTAAACTCTATAAATTCTGTTAAATAATAAGAATCTGTTGTTTATAGAGAAATATTGAGAATTTACAACATTAAATTTTTTTTAATTAATGACAGTAAAATTGAAGTATATAAAATTATATAAATTTATAAGCCTTTTGATAAATGACTTCAAAATTTTACTTAATTTAGTTCATAATTAGCAGCAGAATATTGTTCGGCATAATTAGCGCTTTTGCCAAGTTAAAAAATTATTCAATAATAAGATTAATTATATATTTTATAGAACAATATCCATGTATCCATTCTTCGATATTAGTTTCACTCATATCCTTTGCATAAATTTTGTTATAATAAATACTACAAGTAAAACATACATGAAAGTAAAGAAAAACATTAAAGGCAAGAGGTTGATATAAACATACTTCCGCAAGTATGTTTATGTCAACCTCCTCAAAATTAGGATTACATAACATTAACATAATTAAGTATGGAGTTTGTACAATACCTAAAAAAACCATAGCTAAAAAAGCAAAATATATCTTATGAAATATCTAATCCATAGATATTTCTTAGATAAAAAACTTTGATCAACCTTCAACAAATTCAACAAAGGAAATAACTAAGAACGATTCATCTTACATCAAATAAAGATTTTATACAATAAAATATTTTTTTTTATCTTTTATTGTTCTATAAAAATATTGAATCAGTGATTTATGTTTATGATTTTTGAAATTATTTTCTTTATAAGTGAAAACTAAGAATTTCATTATGATGGAGGAGGGTCATTTTCATGAAATTGATGCTGCAATGGAATTCAACATTGAATGATATAAAAATTTTATTATTAATTACTTAACAGTTTGATTTTTTATGTTGTTTTAATTCTTAATAAATCTTTTGTTGGTATTTTATAAATACGGCACTATTTTAATAATAGTGCCATATTTATAATTGAATAATCATTCAGTCATTTGTTTTTATAAAATTTTTTTTAAAATAAGTTTTTTTTAAATGTTATTTTAGTTTTAGGTTTCTGCATGGTTATTTTTTATCTCTTATTTAAAAGTGTGTGTGTGTGTGTGTGTGTGTGTGTGTGTGTGTGTGTGTGCATTTTCATCTTTATATTTTTTTTAGTAAAAAGCTTTTTACATAAAAAAAATATAAAGTCTGTTTAAAATTAAAAGTCTTTAGGAGAAAGCCCATCAATGTTCTGTGTTTTTTAGTAGATTTATTCTACTGTAAAAATGTAAAGTAAAATAAATTCTCTAATAAATTATAAACATTTAAAGATTACAAAACCTAGTGCCTTTTCTTTGTGTTATATTGTTGCTACAATGTAATCTTTTGAATTGATGTACAGTTAATGCAGTTAATTGCTAAAAAATAATTATTTTTGTGTGCTTTTCTTAAAATGTTATTAATTTTAACATAAGACATCATTTCTAAAGAAAACACAATTAAACATTCTAAACTCCAAAGACACCTCAAGGATGAAACTCTTGGAAGAAAGTGTGATTATTATTTCTACTTAAGTTTGCAGTATATATATTTATATAAGGATTAAAGTTAGCATTTTGTATTTTTATAATAAATTTTATTCATAATATATACTAATAATTTATATTATATATTTAAACAAATATAATTGTATTATTTTATTTAGAGTGCCACTTAACAGAAATATCAAAACTCCACACTATTTATTGAATAGAAAAAGATCTTTATCAAAAACTGTTGCTAGCCCTACATTTTCTCTTCCAAATGATGTTAGAAAAGCTTTAACTGAAGTAAAACAACATCAACAAGTTCATAAAAGCTCCGTTGCTCACCTCAAAGCATCAAAATCAGTCTCATCTTGCAACGTTAAAAAAAACTCAAGTAAAGGTTCTAATTTAAACTTTAAAAACACCCCATGGAGAGATAAAACTCTTGGAAGAAAGTAAGTGTAATTTTTTTTTTTTTTTTATCAATTATTTAAACTGATTTTTTACATTTAGAAATATTTACTTTAGTAATTATTAAAAACAAATAATCAAAAAATGATTATATAAAATGATTAAAAAAGTTATTTATGAAGTTGAGTAAGTTTTATTAAAAATTATATATATAAAAATTAGTGATGTATATTTTCCAGTAAAATTTGATTCAAAATTTACCGGTAAAATTTACCGGTAAATTTTATTTAGAGAACGGTAAATTTTCCTTTAAAAAATTAAAAAAAAAAAAAAAAAAAAAAAAGAAATAAGTGAAAAAAATTTACCAGGCGATAAATTTTCAAAATTTTCCGGTAAATTTTACCTTCGCAACACTAATAAAAATATAGATTAATTTTTTATTCTTTATATGTAAATCTTTTTAAAATATTTGTACGATTGGTTTTATAAAATGAAGACTATCAGTAACAGAAAGTATTAATAAGTAACAGTAAATAACTGTAAAATAGACTTGTAAAGTGTATCACCTAAAATGGTAAAAGCGGGCTTGGTCGAGAAGCAGGTGCGATCGCACTCTATTCCTGACCACGCAAGTTATATTTAGTTGCAACAACTTAGCCAATGCTTTTTAAATATTTTGAGAACATTCAAATATATGTATGTTACCATGTATGTCGGAAAACTAAAACAATTAAATTTTCAATTAATCTTTTGTAATCAAATGTTTTTATATTTAAGCTCTTTTGAACTAAGCAATGATTTACTTTTATTGATCAATTATAAAAAAAAAAAATTAGTTTAATTTTTTAAATTATATAAAGTTGAGTAAGTTTTATTAAAAATTGTATATATAAAAATATAGATTAATTTTTTAATCTTTAAAAAATATTTGTACGATTAATTTTATAAAAATAAGACTTTCAATAACAACTGCGTTTTTAATGAAGTTTAAAAAATAATAATCATCAAAGTTAATAAAATTAATGATAAAATAAACATACAGGAACTTACAGGCAACTGAACATAAACATAAATACATACATACATACATACATACATACATACATACATACATACATACATACATACATACATACATACATACATACATACATACATACGTACATACATACATACATACATACATACATACATACATACATACATACATAGTGAATTACAAGTGGATAATCACTGCATCAAAAATCCATACATAACTCAAATATACAAAAAATTTTAAAAGCCCATTCACTAAACATCACCAGCAGTGTTGTGAAGCAGTTCCACTTCCTCTTCATAATTATATTTTACCTTTTTAATTTAAACATAAAGATTTGCTTTCTAATAATTTGATGCAATAAAAACTTCTAGTTTGCAAAAAACAAAATAAAATCATAATTTAATTAGAATGTAATATGTCCTTTTATATATTAATTTATAGTATATTATAGTATAATAAACCAATGGATTAAGTAAAGTATAAAGTTATTAAATGTATACATAGTCTGCAGTTTGAATACTGATCATTAAAGGCTGCTTGGTCTGGCACATTTTGGAATTTTTTTAAACATTTTTAAAGACATTGCTAAAAGAAAAGATAATTACAATATTTTTTAGTAAAAATTTTATTATTTCTTTTTTTTTTTTTTTTATCTTACTTTGAATTGTTTTTAAATATTTTAAACTTTGCAAGCTAGACAAAGCATAAAATGGTTATAAAAATATATTTACTTTTTTATTTATTATATATTTCAATTATTGTTAGGTTTTATTAGAATCTTGTTGAAATAAAACATTAATACTTAAGTAAGGAATTTTATTATACTCTTTGATAAATTGAAGAACGTTGAAGATTGTTTGTTTCTTTATAAAACTATTACTAAGTTTTATTAATAAGTTGTTACTTTTTATAAAAGTGTCGCTAAATTTTATAAAAAAATTATAAAAGAAAGAAGTTTAGAAATAATTTATTCCAAACGTAATTTGTAATTGCAAATGTAATTTATTTTGTTTTAGTTAAGTTTTTTTCATCTTTAAGAATTCATTTCTTTTTTTAGTTAATTTTTTTAGCAGTTGTTTCCTGTCAAGTTAAGTTTTGATTTCCAAATTCAATTCATAATAACGTTATTTTTAAAAAGGTGGTGGATATTAGAGTTTTAGTTGAATTTTCTAACTTTCAAGCTTGGATTAGAGAAATTTTAGTTGAATTTCAGGCCTATTTTTTCTTATATGTTTTTGATAATAAAAACAAAAAATATACTTTTATATGCAGTCAGAGACAGAGGTTATTTATTAAAAACACGAGGTTGTTATTAAAAAGCAAAATAAATTTCAATTCAATAAATAATATAAAACTTCAAAAAATAAATAATTCCAAAGATAGTTCTTTGCTACTAAGACTTAACAGCAACAAATCAATTAACAAATGAACAGACGACTCTCGTTATCTTGAATGCTAAAGGGACTTTAAAAAAAGTTTGAGAATTTGAGATATCAAGAAAAGGGTTGAAAATAAATAAAATTGCCCAGCTTTCATTAAAACAAGTTGTTTTTCTGTCAAAAATCACACAATAAAAACTACAACTTTTAGAAAAAATCTGTTATCTGATATTACTTTAAATTATCTTTCTTTTCCATCTTCATTAAAACCTCAAGTTTTACTGCTAGGGATTGTATTTCATTTCTGTATTTAGAGCTGTATAGTGAAGCATTTTGAATCATTGCAAAAGCATTTTCTTATTAAATATCAGATCGCAGGCGTGGCAGGGCTTACACGTCAATACCTTTGTCAACGCTATCTTCAACTTCAGTATCTCCGTTTTCAAAATTAGGGTCTAAAATCTGAGCAATTATTTCAGCATCAGTAGCAAGTGAACTGGTGGTTACTACATCACAATCTAAACCAATGTAAGATTTCGCTGAGAGATCTTCTTAAACGGCACTAGGAACTAACTCTCGCAAACGGTTAAAATCTTCTGTCAAAAATTAAAAAGGATGATCATCATCAGCCTTGATCCATGAGCTGATGGACAGATATAGTATTAGGGAGGGGGGGGGCAAATATTAGGTTGATGTTGCTTAGCCCTTTAATATGTGGGTGCTACTTTACTTTCTTGAGCACAAAAGAATGAGTCAAGTTTCTTTACCCATTCTGTAAAAAGGTCCCCGGTCATCCAACTTTTTAACTGATTTTTGTATGTGCAAAGAAGTTGTTTAATGTGTTTAAAACATCGTGGGTTTTTAGATTTTCCAATAACAAACATAGGTAATTTTTCTCCTGTTGCACTCCCTACTGCTATGTCTGTTAGTCTGACTTTACTATTTTTTCCCTAAAATCTTTTTATTGTGATAGATGGTATATTTTGTTTGGTAGGCACTGGTAAAATAGTCCAAACTCATAGGCATTAAATGTTTTCAAGTTTGTAATTCAAAAGCAATGTTGGAAGTGTAGTTTCATTCTATGAAGCAGTCATATTATTTGTCACGGCGGCACTTTCACCTGAGATTAGTTTAAAGTTGATGCCGTTCCTAAAAATAGGAACAGAATAATTGAATTTTAGTTACATGTTTAAAAAACTAAATAAATTAAATATAAACAGATACATGTTATCTGTTAATATTTAAATTGAACAAAATTTAACTGACCTTTCTTTCAAATTATAAAACCAACAATCAGATGCTTTAAAATCCAACTTTCCTAATGTTTCTAATGCTTTTTCTTTCATTATGTTACCATCAATTAGTACTTGTTGACTTCTTTTTGCAACAAACCATGTGTATATGGCCTTGTCTACATTTTTGAAATTACCACTACGAAGTTTCTTCTGTTTAGATTTTGTGCTTTTTTCTTCCAGTGAGGTTAATAACTTGATTTTATTTTTAAACCAGGTTGATAATGTGTTTTTTGGGACTCCATACTTTTTGGCTTTGTTAGACATCCCTGTCTCTAGATCTTTTAATGCCTTGCATTTTTCTATTATAGATTTGTTAGTGAGTTTTTGTTTAACAAACTGCATGTTGTTGCGTATGACAAAAAATAATAAATTAAAGGACTACTTTTCAGAAATTTGATTCTTAAAAAAAATCGAATTTAAAAACCGAATTTAAAAAAATCTTTTCGAAAATAGGAATTTAAAAAAATTAAATATTAAAACATTTCTTGAAAAAAAAAATGTTGAAAAGTTTGAGATAACAAGAGAAAATTGCTGTTTTAGTTTGATTATAGTATGCTCTGAACTACTAATTAAAAAACAAAATGAAACTGAACACAAGCTGTTGTCAGAGACAAAAAAAAATTAAAGAGCAAAGGAAAATAATTTAGGTTGTCTGACTCACAAAATTTAATAAATAGGTATAAGGTTCGAACATAAGTAAACATTAGTGCCAGCAGGGTTAGTGGTACTAGAACCAAGCCATTCAGTGTGATGAGCAGTAAAGTCACCAATTACAACAATATTGGCAAATGATTAAATAGAAAAAGCTTGGTTATATTTTATCAAAAATAACATTAAAAACAGTTCAGTTTTGGGGGAAAAGAAAACCATTATCAAAGTTGTAAACAAAGAGGATATTTTATGAATTATAAATGGTTGTGTAAAGTGGTGCTAAACAAAAGCACACAAATTTAGTGGGTTTAAACCTGATTTTATGACAAACAAGTGAATTGATACAATAATAAAATGCAAGCCTGAAGTGAAGACACATTAATACCCTAAGCATATACATAAGTATATGCCCAAGCATGTGGTTATTGGGGTATGAGAATCAAAGGATAATAGCTGATAAACCTGATAATATAATTCATGACAAAAATTCATGATTTATAAGGTGCTTGACTTTAATCTAGATAAGTTTAATTGTACTCGGTACTCTAAGCAATAGGCTATGTAGTTATCTTATTTCTGTTAAATAATTCTGTTAAAGTTGCAACAAAGTGCTTTAATGTAGTTTCGACAATACTCGTCAAAAGCTCTAACACCATCCATGTGCAACATGATATTGTTAATGCTCGGATATTTTACAGTTGTTTAAGGAATTAGCGTATCTGAACGTTACCATATAGTTTAGGAAACTTTACTAGTAGCCTTATTTGTAGAACTGTCATATGTCATTTTTTAGAGGTTACCTTTATTCTCATTGTTCATTAATCCTAAACTAAACCTAATTTTAGAGCTTTAGTCCTAAAAAGTCCTAAAAGTCCTAAAAAGCACCATGTTACAAGTTTTACTGGATTACATGTTACCAGTAGCAGAGTGAACTAATCCTGAGTCCGATCTGAGCAAATTTTCAGTCAGATGATTTATAAAACCTTACTCTTACTAATCCAGTTTAACATGTAACATCACCATCAACATGTAACATCACCATCAACATGTAACATCACCATCAACATGTAACATCACCATCAACATGTAACATCACCATCAACATGTAACATCACCATCAACATGTAACATCACCATCAACATGTAACATCACCATCAACATGTAACATCACCATCAACATGTAACATCACCATCAACATGTAACATCACCATCAACATGTAACATCACCATCAACATGTAACATCGCCATCAAATAGACATTTATAATAAAAAGTTACATTTAGAGCATCAGCTTTAAGGCTTAAACTGTTATTTTATTACTTATAAAGTATTGTTGACAAATGGCAAATTCTCCACAAATGAAGAATTCGGCATTTGTTAGTTTATTTTATCTTCCAATTATGCATCCAATTGATCATGTAGTCAATGTTCTATTTAATTAAAAGTGCAATCAAGTTTTGTATCATCAGCGCACATTTTGTATAATATTTTATATTACATTTATATGTATGTTATTTAATATAGATTATTAATGTATTTAACATAATAAAATAATATATTGACATTTAAAGAATAATTAGATATGGATCAAGTCTGTGACTGCTGACAAATTTAAATAATAAAATACTTTTTGTTTTTTTTATGCCTTAAGTATAAAAAAACAAAAAGTATTTTATTAATTAATTTTGCACCTAATTTTAATGCTATATAATAATTGAATATTTTCTAGACAAAACTATTTATATATTTATAGTTTTTTATAGCTTAGTTATTATCTTGAGTTTCAGGTCAGTTTGTTAAAACTTCTTTAATTGTAAGTTTTGAATAACCTTTATGATATGTTTAACTTTACTTGTAACTAATATTACTTGTTTGACTTTAATAATAACCATATTTAACTGTGTTGATAAAGTTTGTTTGATTTTTAATTAATAATACTGGTTGTTTTGATATTGAGAAATGGTTATTTATTAGCTTTATCTAATTTTTATAAGGTTGTTTATCTAATTTTTTAGAATGTTAAAATGCGTTAGACAAAAAATGTTTATTTTACAAATTTTTATTGATATGCTTAATTTTTGACTCAAACTGTTTCATTTGGTCCCTTGAAATCATCTAATCGATTACTATTTTAATTCTCTGGTTAAGTCAAACCTCAAATAACTCAAACTTCATTAAGTCAAATTATTTTTTCGTCCCATTTCAGTAAATTTCTTTGGATTCAAACTTTTTGTAAGGAAATTAAAGATAATGACAAAATTCATTTAAAAAAAAAAAAAAAAGCCATTCCATATAAAGTATAAATAACTTTAATTACGTTTTTATTTTTTTGTTGCATTTAGATCTGAATAAAATAAATTGTTATCAGTCGTAAAATAATGCTATAATAAAACTGCAAATTATGATAAAACCATTAAAAAAACAATAATTTTTTAGTTAAATAAATTTTTAAACAAAAGTTTGCTAGCTTTTAAATGATAAAGAAGTCATTGTGTTGCTAAACTTTTTTGAATGTTATCTTTTGACTGTACTTCATGTATAAAATCTATAATTTCTTTCATTGAAACATAATTATAATGATATAAATTAAATGTAAATACTTTAGAATAGAAAAAAAGAAAAATCGCCTCAAACTAATATCTCATATCAGCCAAAGTTTGATTTAACTGGAATTTGATTTAATCGAACATTCGTTAAGTCAAACCATTTTCCTTTGTCCTTTAGAGCTTTGAGTTATCAGGAATTAATTATAATTAGTATTTTGCACTTTCTATACACACAAGTTTATTGAATATTTATTTAGTTTTCATCTAATTTTCTGCCAATAGTTTGTTGCCAATAGTTTGTTGCCAATAGTTTGTTGCCAATATTTACCTTTTTCAAATATAAAAGTACTACTAACTTCTTTTCTCAAGAAATAAAGAAAAAAAAAAGAAAATAAAGACCTTTTTTTTCCTAATGTATTTATATCTGTTCTTTCTACAGTATTTATGTTTTAAATAAAGTTTTATGTCATCACATTCAGACGCTGTATAAAATAGAAAGATGTAAATGCAGTTCTATCTGTCATGCACCGAAATTCTTGAAGAATTGTTTTTAATTAATTATTATTTTTAACTGTTATACTGACTTCTTATTGACCAACCAATATGTTAATAAAAATAATACTCTTACAATCTAATGAATTCAACGAAGTTTTATGCTGATAAAACTGCTCTATGTGATGTAACAACAAAGGAAAATAACATTTTACTGTTGAGAGTATTGCAACTTGGGATTAAGAAATGAATGTTTTGTGTTTTCAGAGAATAAATGTTACAATAACTAGTATGATAAAATTGTGTCAGGAGCTTCAAAAAAAGTTGTTCTAATAAACAGCTTGTACAATGAGTCACTTCAACAGGTCCTTAAATAATTCTTGGACTCAAAGTCTGTCTCATTAATTCTCCTTAACAGACTTTTTGTTTTAGATTATTCATTTGAGATTACAGATTGTTATTTTTTGTAATCACTAATCAAAAGCTTGCACAACAAGTCACTCCAACAGATACTCAATCATTTCTTTGACTCAAAGTCTAAAGAGTCTTAATCAACAGCATTTGTTCTTTATCTAAACTTTATCAAGAGGTCGTAGACAATAATGGTTCTATTTTATTTAATTTTCGTTTCAACGCGAAGGAAGAAAAAAGATAAATAAAATACATCTACAAATATGGAGTCAGTATAATGATTTGTTTGTATTATTAACAAATCATTTTTTAAATTAGGATTTAACACTTTAAATTAACACTTTAAATGCAATAAAAAAAAGTGTTATAAACTTTTAATCGTTGATCTTTTCTAGAGCTTTTATTTTTTTGCAAAGGTTTTAAATAATTATAATGATTGTTTACACAAACACATAAATAAATGTAACGTGTAAATTTAAAAAAATGTTATATATTAACTTTTTTATGTAGGCATGTGTTTTTTCTGATAAATTTAAATGTTTGAAACCATTTGTATTCAATTTGAACTATGTATTCTATGTATTCATTGAACTGTATCTGTTTATTGATTATCTTATTAATATGTGTTAAGTGAAAAATCTATTGGTATATTGTATGTCTTATTGAATGTTTTGAGTGTTTATGTCCTATTGTTTTATTGTAACCTTTAACACAAAAATGTGTTTAATTTATGTTTTTTTTTTTTTTTTTAATTTAGAGAAAGATTGCAGTTATGGTTATCTTCAGGGTTAGCTTTACTACTTGCTTATTTTTAGTTCATTTGAATTCTGTAAATCAACTAATGAAATAATAATAATAATAATAATAATAATAATAATAATAATAATAATAATAATAATAATAATATAATAATAAAAGTAATAATAATATATTTTTGTTTTATTATAAATTTTTTTAGCAAGTTAATTATGTTTAGGCCACGCTCCTTAGATTTGGTTAAAAAACAGCAAATACATAAAAATCAATCAAAAATAAATGCAAAACCTTCTAAAAAAAAATTGAATTTCTTAAGCAGTAAGGTATAAATTTTTTTAAATTTCAGTATTGTATCTGCTTTGTTATTCAATTTATGTCTGCCTTATCATTCAATTCAAGATTTTTGAGACTTAGCATTTATACATTTAAAGTTTTGTTCAGTTATTATATTTATAAGGCTTTACTTAGTATGACTATCCCTGATTTTTTTAACTCAAAACATAGCTGAAAGTGGCTACACAATTCTTGCAGTTGTCTAAACATGCCTCTAGATGTGTTATCAATGTTTTTCTCTCTTTAGAATTAGGAAGTTAAGGCAACTTATCTCAACTTCCTGATTCAAAAAAGAGAAAAAGTGAGCTTTACACAGCAACATCGATTCAGAACCAGGTTTCTTTATTATTAGATCTTATAGTTTAACTTTTATCAATTTTTAGTATTTTCTTATAAAAAAACATGTAGCACAACTTTAACAATGTTGCATCAGCTCCGTTTAACATGGACATATCAGCTGATATAACATGGAAGGATAGTTTTTAAAGCAACTACAAAAGTTTTCACAGTTTCACAAAAAAAAGTGTATACAATTGTGGGTTATTAAATACCAAAAGAAATGGGATAAGTCTTTAGTTGATTGTGTTTTTTTGAAAAACACAGATTTGTTATATTTAAATATATATGAAAATAAAAAATAAAAGTTGTGCTTTCTTAACTTAAACACTTTTGTTAATTCAGTATTTTTTTATTTTATTTATACAAATAGTACATGCTTGTTTAGTTTGAAGCAGTGAATGATAGTGCAGCAGCCAATGGCAAAACAGATTGCAAAACAGCATGTGATGAATTTACTGGTGACTTATTAGAACTAAATTGTTCAATTAATGCTTTTGCAAATGAGCTAGGTAAAAAATTTTAGACACTATTTAGTTTCAACTATATAGTCTCACACAATCTGATCAATCTCTAAATTGAAATGGTCTTTAAATTTCTGATTATCAATGGTTTTTTCAGAATTTATTTGAATTATTTTTAATTTTTACTTTATTTTCTATTTAAATTTTGGTTATCTTTAAGTAGACGTATCTCCTGAGCGAAAAGTTCACTTTGAAGATTTTAGTCCAGTAAATTTTGAAGCATCTACAATAAATTTATGTATAATGGAATCTTCAGCTTTTAAAAGAAAGTTAGTTCAATTACTTAATTGTGTTATTTTGATTTTTCAAACTTATGCATTTTTGCATAACCTAATTTTTAAAAAATATATATTAATTCAGACAATTTTTTTAAAATAAAAAAGCAGAATTATAAAACAAAAATAAAAAAGCAGAATTATAAAAACATAAGCAAAAGCTGGTTCTTGTATCCCTTGTGAGGGTTTTTGTAATTAATGGTAAAGGTTTAGGGAAGTGGTACCTGTACATATATTGGCGAGCTCATTTTATATATTTTTAATTTTTTTATCATTATCAGTGAAATTAATTTTATTTTTTTGGTCCTTGAACATTAAATAATTCTTTAATACTATCAAAAAAAAATTCTTTATTTGATTCATAATTTATATATATATATATATATATATATATATATATATATATATATATATATATATATATATATATATATATATATATATATATATATATATATATATATATATATATATATATATTATATATATATATATATATATATATATATATATATATATATATATATATATATATATATATATATATTTGTGTGTATATATATTATGAAAATTATGTTAAAATTTCCAGTAAGCATTCTCAATACAGTGTTGTTGTTTTTTTTTCTGTCCTTTTATTTCACCATAAAATATGGATATTTACAATAATAAAATATAAACTTACATAAATAAGGTTAGGTGTCACTTGTTTATTTAAAAACTAGTCAATGGAGTAGCACCAAAAAAATAAAATAGTAAATAGAACATAAAAATAAAAGAGAAAAAAAAAGAGAATAAACAAAAGAAACTAAAAGGAAAGAAAAAAAAAAAAAAAAAGAAAAGAAAATGAAGCACTAATAAATAATAAGTATTAAAAAATTTAATTTTTTTATTGTTATTCACCTCCCTAAAGCCATGAGCTCCACTACAGTCAAGCAGGCTACTTTATTGTGGTTAGAACCCTCTCTTTTTTCTTTAACTCTGAAACACAAACCTTGGAAACAAGGCTGCTGCACAGAGAAACAAGTTATGCTTGGTACTAACAGGGACATGGTGGGGGTCAAACTCAGAACTTGTTGCTTATAAAGCAAGCACCTTAACACTTAATCCCTACCAACTAAAAATAACAATATGAAGAAGGAAAAAAACAATAATAGCTATGTGATAACTTTAATAAAAATTATACCTATATATTAAAAAAGTGGTAAAAATTATAATAAAATTTGTAGCTATGACAGTAATTATAAAAATAAACATAAAATTGCAAAAATTATAACAATAACTAATTAACTAAGAAATAAAAAAAAAGTTATAACAAAAACTATTAGCCCAATAAATTCAATTGCACTATCATTAAAAATAATATTAATAAGGCATCTAAATCAAAGATTAATGATAATGTTAATAAAGTAAAAAAAAAATAGAATAAAATAAAAACTATTGCAGTTTCATTAATACAGTAATATATTAAAGCAATAATAATAATGATTAAGAAGAATTAGGGTTAAAAAGAGAAAGTTTATTTGAAGAGAGAAAAGGGTATTTAGTTAAAATTCTTTTTTTAATAAATGGTATTAATTGGTTTCAGTGAGAAATACATTGGAGAGCTTGCCATTATCAATCATGTTGAAAAAAAAAGGGTGCAAGTTAAAATTTAAAGTTTTTGAGTGTAATATTTATGCGTATCATTTGTTTTAATAGATTAAATTATTAAATAAATATAATATGTATGTTGTAGGTTAGGGCATCCCGTACTTTTCAAAAAACAACTTTTTTTTTTTAATAAACACTTGGCCCTTTGTATTTTTTAGCTAGAAAGTATATAAATTTAGAGTCTGTTAAAATAAAGCTGCTATTAATAGGTCCTCATTTGCAAAAATTGATTTATTGCAATATTTTATTGACCTTAAAATTATCTTGAAGCATAAATACATTTTTATGTGGAAGTAATAAAAAACCGTATAAACTTCTCGAAAAAATTAAATTTTTTACATTTCATAACAGTTTTTCATAGGAAATTTTTGAAACAAAAAAGTTCTTGATGTTCAATATTTTTTGCATTATATTTTTCGTAATTAACTTTTATATTTTTATTAACTTTAACCCACAAATACTATATAGTTGAAGTAAAAGAGAAAATTTACAATGAGTGGTATATAAACAAGAAAAAAGACAAGCACAGCAATGTCTGACTTAATAGGTATACAGTTTTTAAAAACCTAATTGCTTTATTTTGAAATTATTTATAATATTTTTTTAATATATTATTTTAATAATAATATAAATATTAAGTCATGAATAATACATTTTCTTCTAAAAAATTTGATCAACAATAACATTGACAATGAAAACAATAATATTGACATATTATTTTTAAATATTATGATCTAATATATTTAAAATTGATATTAATTGTTTGTTAATCTTAAATCTTAATACAATAATATAGATATAATATTAATATGTTGTTATATAACAATAATAATAATAGTAATTATATAATAATAACAATAATAATAATAATAATAATAATAATATGATAAAATTTTATCTTAAGGAAAAGGTAGAGACTTTATTCCATTTGAATTACCAACTTATGGTGCTGTTCTTCAAAAAGCTATCCTCATTAAAGAGTTGTCAGAAAAAAAAGTATATCCATTAGATGATTTGGTTAGGAAAACAAGGTTAGAACAATGGAAAAAAGCAAACTCAGACTTTTCACATCCAGTAATTTTTACAGATAAGTCTATTGACAGAAAGATCAAAAATTTACAATGATGTTTAGGATATTTGCAGAAAAAGATTAACTAAAAAAGTAGAAATTGACAAAATAATGAAGTCTTTGTCACGATTCTTTGATATAACTAACTACAAATGTGCAATTTTATTCTGTAATGAATCAAGTTGTCTGGGAGTTCATATTGACTGTAAATGTGAATAATCAGTGAGGATTCCTATAATAGAATTAGAATTTATTCACTCACAGAGAAATAAAGGAGAGCAGTCTCAAATTATGATAGGATCAAAAAACTACATAGAGACTAAAAGAACCTATGCTGAGGTTTCAGAAATGTGCTCTAAAAATGAGTTTGAATGTTCTAGTTACACTGAACATATTGATTTATTTAACATAAGTGATGATTTCAAAGTAAAGCGAAATTACATATTGATTCAAAATACTGCTATTGCTGCAATAAGATGTGAAGTTTCAAACACTGCTGCAGCTGCAATTGCTTCAGGATTTTTAAAAGATTTTGTAGAAGCTAAAGTTCCAGAATCAGCTCTTTTTTTATTACTGGACAAAAACAAATTGCATAGAGCCAAAGATAAACTTATGTCAGAGTGTCAGGTTTTTGCAAAGAATAGATTAGATCCTGAGAATGTTTCTTGTATTCTCTTTGATGGAAGAAGTGACAAAACCAATTTAATGACATTTAATGAAGAAACCAAAAAATTTTATCCTTTAATTAAAAAGGAAGATCACTATACTTTGACTGATGAATATGGTAGTATCTGAAAAATCAAAAATTAAGCCTGCCGAACATATAGCAAATAAAATATTTCGATGGTCTATTTTGCATCGTGTTGAACATAGCTTAAAGTTCATTAGTTGTGATAGCACAGTTACAATTACAGGCCATAATGGAGGTGTTATTCATTGTTTAGAGATTAAATTAGAAAGAAAATTACGGTGGCTAATATGCTCTCTTCACACAAACAAACTTTGTTTTCAGCATTTAATAGAAGAACCTCAAAGATAGGGTTTTCTGGACCTATTGGTAAGTTGCTTTTCAAGGTTACTGAAATGGAAAGATATTAGTTTCAAGACAATATCTATAGGTCATGGTTTAATTGAACTTGATGAAGAAATGATAAAGGAGTTGTCTTCAGATCAGAAATATGCTTATAAAATATGTCAGACAGTAATTTCAGGAACTCTTATTAAAGATTTGGCAAATTAAAAACCAGGCACTATAGTTCATTCAAGGTGGCTCAATACAGGCTCTTCCTTACTTTTATTGTGGATAAGCAACCATGGGTTACAGGGAGATGACCTGAGAAACTTAGAATTAATTGTTAAGTTTCTTGTATCAGTATACTTCCCTATGTGGTTCCAAAGTGAAGCATAGCTGGATAGAAGGGCCGCGGCACATCTTGAACCAATTTAACCTTATCAAACTTCAAGATAAAAATGTACAAAAAGTTATTGAAAAATATGTGAGATTATCAGCAAGGAATTCTCATTCTGAAGGCTTATTGCAGACATTACTTTGCAGCCAAAATAAAATTGAAAGGGAATTTGCTGTAAACAAAATTTTAGAAATTAGAAATAATGAGGAAACAGGAACTCTAGCTCCTATAACATATAAGCTTCCTCATTCACCAACCTATGTGAAACCAAATTGATTGAGTTAATAACACGGCACCTATAAAACCACTTACACGTACATAAGGTGTTAGGGGGGGGGGAGGTGAAGGTTGTTCAAGGAAGGAGCGCTTGAGAACCACTCTAAATATTTTAAAACTGTTCTATATTTACTGACATTATTGAAATTAGTTAAAGTTTTTTTACCATCTATATAGGATAATCTTAGACATAATATAATTTTGGTCCCCCTCCCCATTTGAGTTAATTGACCTTAAGTTTAAAAACTTAAGGTCAATTTTTGCAAATGTTGCCTTCATCCTAATAAATTTATTTGTGTCTTTCTTTAATGTATATACCTAATAGCAAAAAAATTATAAGGGCCGAGTTTTTTACAAAGTTGAAAAGTACAGGATGCCCTATTGTATGTAGAACAAATATAAAAAGAAGGTAGAAAAAATATTATAGTGAAAACTAAATAACTTGTTAGATATATTTTAAATTATAACAAAAAGTTATATACTAACAAAATGGTATGAAATGTCTGCTTCAATGACATTGAAGTTTTTATTTAGAAATCTTATTTTATGACATCACTTTTATGTAAGCTTACATTGTTTATAAGTTTAAT